GAGAGGTAGAGATAGAGAAAGAGGAAGAAAAAGAATGAAATCCGAGAGTAAAGTCTTCATGAAGTAACTATCTTGCCTACTTGAGTAAGCCTATTTATAATAAGCGTTTTACGAATCTTCATTCTTGAGTTCTTTCTGCTTTTTGGATTCTAAGGCTTCGCGAATTAGGACCGAAGAAAACCTCACGTTTGAGTTGGAGCCACCGCTTTTAAGATGACGCCTTCGGTCGATCGGTACACTTGTTGACGATGGAACTGACGGGCGGACGACAAGATACGTTTCTTTGAAGGGCTAACGAGCATCGTCGGTTTACCGGCACACATTGACGTTATTTATTATATTACCCGACGATTTTATATATATGATATATATCGAGCCAGAGAGAGAGAGAGAGAAAGAGAGAGAGGGAGAGAGAAAGAGAGAGAAAGAGGGAGAGAAAGAGTCGCGTTTCTGACCATTGCGAGATATATATACTTTTTTTACAACGAATCTCCACAGTTGTAACGCGCCACAGATCGAACCACCGTCTTTTACATCGTCGGCCTCCTCTCAGCAGCGTCGAGCGCCGTGTATAACTAACTGTAAATTTTAGGTATTACCGCGCGTATAATAGGAAAACAAAAAAAAAAAACGATAAGTGAGAATGCGAGGCGAAACTATCGTGGAGGAGAGGAGGAATAAGAAGAGAAACAAAAATGATAATACACATAACAACACACACTATATATTGTAATATTATTTTTCGAACATAGTAATGTAATGTAGAATATATAATATATATATATATTATATATATTATAAATATATATATATTATCGTATCTCGTAACGGATCATTTCGTATAGCGCTAGGCTGGACGAGGTGTTTACGGAGGTTTAAGAGAATTAATTAAGGTGGGCCAGATAAGAGCAGCGGGCGGGCGTGCCGAGCGGCGCGAGGTAACACCGATATTTTTACCAAGTTTTTCGAATATTGAGTCCCCCACGATTCCTATATAACGAGAACTTAAATGTATCCTCGCGCCACTGCCGCCTCCGCGCAATTTATTAGCGTGCACCCGCCGGCCAGTGGTCGAGATTCGGTTCGAGCTCGCGTCGCGACCAACCGTCGCTCTCCGGTTGCGGAACTTAGAAGCGAACGACGTGCGAATAACGACGATGCGAGCGATCGCGAAGAGAGGAGGGAAAACAAGAAAAACACAAAGCTCGATCGCATACGCTCCACATCGTCGCGATACATTTTCTTGCGTATATGCGTGTGTGTGTGTGTGTATGCGCGCGCGCGTTCGAGTACTACGCGCATAGAGCGCGAAAACGTTCGCGAGTTGGTGTGAAACAATCGTTCCTTCGTTTCTTCTCTCGTTTCGAGATGCTCCGATTGCTTGATTTCGAAGCCAAGCTTGCGTGTGTTGTGCCGGTTGTTCCCGTCCCGTAACGAAGTACAATTAAGCGACACTGTCGGAACAGAAAAAAAAATAACGAACGAATCGCATCCAAACGCTGTCCAAACCGCCGCTGAATCGTCGACGACTGGCCGGCGGTGAATTTTCAATTGGTCGCGTCGGGGATCGAGGCGAACGCGGACGGCATGACCCAACGAACGATAATAAGAGAACGCGGCACCGGCGTGACGCATACCGCCTGGTCTCGCCTCGTTTCGCGACGCGACGCGTGCGTATCTTTAATTTTTCATTGTCCGCAGAGGGACGAAGAATCGAGCAGAGGCGTGTACAGTGGGAAACGGTTGGTTACTGTAATGCAAGTAAATGGAGAAAAGGAAAGTCGAAACCCACTCCCCCGTTCCCTCCCGTCATCCTCTCCCCCTTCATCTCCTACTTTTGAACCTGTCATTTTTAGGAACTCCTCAAATGTCGGCCCGAAATGGACAACATGATGCGTGACGTTTTCTGACGGCGAGAAAACGAATGTATAAATTTGGCGACGACTCGTGTAATACGTAAAAAAAAAAAAGAGAGAAAGAGTGAGTGAGAGTGAGAGAGAGAGGGAGAGAGAGAGAGAGAGAAAAGGAAGAAAATGAAAAAAGAAAAGAAGATTTACCGATGCGTTGTATTTTAATATACTTGTCGAATATTATTGGTTGTCGAATATATATCACGCCGATCGAAATTCGAAAGTTAACGACGAGTTGCGGCTGAGAGATAGTAGACCTCTTCCTTTCGTTTTGTTTTTATATGCAGTTGTTATTCGATGTTTTGTTGTACGAATATGCTGGCATGTTGAATCGTGGATGGAGAGAACCAAGAGTCGCGGAGCTGGACATATCTATTTTTTGCGAGGCGCAATCCGCTCGTTACGTTCGTTTAAGTTTCGCGAGCCGGTTTACGTGACGACCGGCGCGCACCGGCCCACCAATAGCGGTGTCCATCTCGTACCTTCGAGCGGGTTTCCCGACCGTGGCCAGTTCAACATGGCCTAACCCGGAACATAACGCGAACGACAGACCGTCGTGCAATGCCGACTCCGCCGATTCAGTGGCACGAGCTGATTGCGCGTCACTCTTAATAGAGAAGATGAAGTAACTATACGGATTAGGGGAAAATTAACATTGTGATGTTCATTGATCAAATATGTCAAAAGAAGAAGGCCCACTGGTTGAGGCCCGACATTTCTGAGTACACTATAAATAATAAACATTATGTAAAATTTATTGAAATACCTCGTGTGCACGCTTCATTGCCGACACCTTCTTCCAGTACAGATTGTCCCCGAATCGGTTCTGCGTTTTCTCATTGATCATTCTCGTCGACACAGATCGATGAGATCAATGAGAAAAATTGAAACCACATGGTGAACAAACATTTTATACTTGTGTTAAAATCGGTCCTTGTTGAAATTTTTGTTAAATTTTTAACATACTCGTGTGTTAATTTCACATATTGTGATTACCTCAGTATTTTGTGTTAGGTATTTAATGTGCGTAAGTGTTAAAATAACACATTTTATACTCCGGTGTCGATTCAAACGTTAATTTTGTGTTAATTTTTGACGTGATATTTGTGTCACTTTTCAACATATTCACTTTCTGTTAAATTAACACGAAAATTTGCGCAGACCTTTCGGTGAAATATGTCGAGTTTAACATGAAATTTTTTATCACGCAAAGATTGCTTTCAAATCGGTTGATAGGCCGGACGATAAATTCGAGTGAGAAAAAAAGCAACGGTAATTCTGGGACATCTCGTACCATCTTCCTCTCCCTCTTTCCCGTTTCGACGAGATAAGGAGCGCGTATATTCGTTGTTTCGATGTGAAACATCCCGATGATCGGTGAATATCTCTCCGGTGTAACAGCTTGCCACGAATATCGGACAGATTTATATTCGTCGCAACGATATTTCACGCGGTATCAGCCGTCACGAATTGCGGCCGCGAATTGCATTACGGACGCTTAGCGACGCTAAGCCGCGGCGAGATGCATTCTGCGACGAGCAGCTTGAAACGCATGCACGTACCGCGACCAGCCAATCGCAGCGTTTGAATGTGCGCCGCGGGCTGACACATCGCGCACATTCACCGCTGCATCCGCAAATGCGCACGATTGCAGTGCGCGATAAAGCCGCGGCTGCGCGCTGCTGGAAAACGGCTCTCCGACGTTATCGTTACGTGAAAATCCATCGTAAAGTCGGCCGACAGCGATATGCTTCGATGCGGACAGTGTAAATAGGATTTTCCTTTTATCGAAGCGGGCGATTACGCGCGGCAGGCAGACGAGAATTGCAATCAAGGATTAAGTTCGTTAAGTTCGAGAAAGCGATGAAACGTGCGAGCACCGGGAAGCGATCGTGAATCCTTTTTTCGAATGCTTTCAATTTGGAAAATGTTCACTCTTCGCGAATTTCTGCTAGAGGGAAAATTTTATAACCGATCTTCCGCACGGAGAAGAATTTTGTGCTGGCACAGGAAATTGTTCGTTACTGCAGTGACAGCGGAAAGATTTGTTACACGGTGAAAATAATTTTAGATAACTTCAAAATAAATTTCATTGTGACGGCAATAAAATTTAATTGGCATATTTAGCAATTAATAACTCTTAACAGATCTTTTCGCTGTTACTATATAGTAACAAACAATTTGCTCTGTCAGCGAAATATTTCCCTCCGTGTGGACTCGGATATATTTTCCTGCTTCTCATTGAAAAGAAGAAACGTACGATAAATGAACGGAATCTGTGCGAATATCTCGTAAGTGTTACGAGATTTGAGGAAGTTAACGTTTATATTCCGCGTTCATTCCGCTGATACCATCATGGTTTAAATCTAATCAACGATTAACCCAACTGGAATTGAACAATTGCATCGGCCAATTAACTGAGTCGATCGATGCGATTGATCAATTCCACTGGAATCATCAAAGATTACAGTTAAATCTGATTATAGAAACGGACATGAGTCCTGTTACACGGTAACGTTAATCCCGTTTAGTAGGAACCGTAATTAGATCCCGCCTTCATCGTTCATTAGATGTAAACAAGGGCAGAATCTAATGGCCGACAAAGACGGGTTAATTACGGTTGTTACTAAGCCGAATTAACATAATCGTGTAACAGGACTCACCGGCACGGAGGCGTCTGACCACGTGTTGCGTTTTCCACTGCGCTCGTCAACGCGGGTTTCAACCCCGAAGCCGATTAACCGAAGTGAACGTCCGTCGTGTCTCCTGGCAGAATAGTCTTTCATCCCCCTTACCCGAAGGGTTGGTTCAATCACCGAAGCTGCGACGCAAGAGACGCGTCATTGTCGAGTCACCGGATTCGACGGGGGATTTACGTACATCCGAGATCCCGGACAGCAGCTGTAACTCGCGAAGATGACGCGGGGGGAGAGAGGTAATCGGGTAATGTCAAACGGAGAGCGTGGCGTCGCGAGCCGACATGCGCGGTCTCGCACCGGCGAAGGGGACTTTTGCCGAGGCGGGTTGGCAGTTCTGGCTCCGTTTCTACTGCGGCCACCACTCTCCGCCGCCACGGGCTTTTCGCAATCCGCCGCGCGTAAAAACTCGCGAGCACGTTCACGATCGATTAGGCTCGCGGCGGCTAATGAACCTGAGTGCAACGATGCGGGCGGGCGCTACGGTCGGCAGTCCGTTGCAGCAGCGTCTCGCGTAATTCGCATCACCGACCGCGCGTGGAAAGTATCGTCGGTGCGCTCTGGTCGACGTCGTCGGGCCAGCGGATGCCCGTCGCGGCTGTGCCTACCGAAAGATGCGGCGGTGCTGCCGACGGAGACGTCACCCCGTGCGAATCGTGAGGAGGCTGCCGAGGAACGGCCGACGGGCGGTCGAGGCCCAGGAGCTGACCCAACGTGCTCCTTTGACCTGAGGCAATCGCGCGCGCATACGTGCACGCAGAGTCGGTGTGCGCGAGGACGTTCCTCTGGTCGATGGATATTCGCGGGTAAATTCGCTCTCCTCCGTCTGTTGATCCGCCGATCACCGATCGTCCGCGGTCGCAGCTTTGAATGACGCGTGCGTTCGCCCTGAGCGTCGCACAGTAGCCTCGTCGAGGTTGCGATTCTCAACACGCCGTTTCCTCCGCGAACGTCACTGTGGACCGCGCTCGGTCGGTCTTTTTATCTTGACAATCGCCTCCTGCGGAGCCGATTTCTCTCTGAGCGTTTCCCCTGTGACGAAAGCGTTCCGTTGCGACCGGCCCTTTGCCAGTCGAGTTTTATTTCGCGGATAAGTCTGTTTATCTGGCTGCGCGAAAGAGTCGGGATTAACCCGGAAGCGTCCGCGTTGCGAAACGCATGCTGCTTTCGTTGACGAGACGAATGTGCAATGTGAACGTGGACTTTTCAGTTAAAGGGACGCATCCATGTGTGTTACGTGTTAAATAAAATTATGTATAAATCTGTGTCGCGTGTAATCGCCGTGTATAAAGTGAAGTGATTTTTTACGTGGCGCGCTTGTGACGCTCACGCTCGCGGATTAATTGTCATTGTTCAATCGTTCTCTATGTCTATTGTCAGAATTATGAAGTTTATGCGATATTCTTTTTCAATGGTCATGTGCGGATTTAATTGATATTATACAATTGCTATTATACGATTTGAATTCGAAGAGCGAAAGCGTCCATGATCACTGTCGGTAGATAATCGGTAGTCGGCTGTTTTGCCCGCACGCCCGTCTGTTTCTACTTAACACCGAGATTATGCGCGTTGAAGTTCGACCACGCTGATTTATCCGAATGATCGATACTCCCTGTGACGATTAACGTTATTATTACGCGATATAAATAATGTAATCATATAGTTTGTGCATATTAAAATTACGAAAATTCTTATTGGGATAACTGACGTGACGTTAGATCATGAAAAATATTAAATAATAATTGCTCTGTTTTACCAAAAAGGAAGAAGTTATTTATAGGTCGGTAAGAGTCTAAGCACAAATTTCTTTGTGCTATGTTGAATATTAATATAGTTATTAATATTAATATATTCAAAATGACATTAATTAATTAATATTAATTATAATTAACTATAATTAATATTAACTATGTTAATATTCAAAATTGTATTAGGGCCTGCGTATTTAGGTTTTCAATGGCCCATAAGTAAGTTAAATCATGAAGTTCGCGACGCGTAAAACTAACATAAATGCACATCAATACGTACATGGATCTGGTAATTTTCTTTCTCAGAAATAATAATACCGGCGCCAGAAGAGAATCGCAGTAATTTCTTTTCTCCGAAGAGTCTTACCGTTATAAATTAAAGTACGTGTTCGGCCTCCATTGACACCATGGACGATGATATCGACGATAAAGATGACACGAAACGGTAAGAGCGCATCTAAATTAAAGGAAAGAAATAAGACGTATTTAAGATACTAATGCGTAGTTTTGATTCTCGTTCCGATGAGCATTAAGCGTGTTAATGTCTACCTTTTAGAAAATCGCGCAATCTCAGCGAAAAGAAACGCAGAGATCAATTTAACATGCTCGTCAACGAGCTCGGCAGTATGGTCAGTGCTAATACGCGAAAAATGGACAAATCCACGGTGTTGAAGTCGACAATTTTGTTTCTAAAGAATCACAATGGTATGCTTTTACAGCAATATCTGTTAAATCTACTAAATCGTTTTTTTTTTAATTAATCAATTGTAATTAAATTCAGCTTCTAAATAAAAAGTATGATTATTTTTGGATGGTCTTTTAGAATTCAATTTTTCGGTAAAATTACGTGCATATTTTTTATATCAACTGTCTTTCAGAGATAGCAGTTAGGTCAAGGGTCCATGAGATTCAAGAAGACTGGAAGCCGTCCTTTCTCTCGAATGAGGAATTCACGCATCTTATATTAGAGGTAAAACTACGTCGTCAATCATGACGCTGAAGTCGATCTTAATATTGCAAATATTTAATTGCATATGAACTTTCATATTAAATTTTACGTGAATTTAGGCATTGGACGGCTTCATAATGGTTTTTTCGTCAAATGGCCGTATTTATTATGTATCGGAAAGCGTTACGTCCCTGCTCGGGTATCTCCCAAACGAGTTGGAGAGCACCACCATTTACGATATAACGTATCAAGAGGATCAGCCGCATTTGTACAATATTCTGCTGAATCCTGGTAGCACACGGGACAGACAGGCAGTAAAGAAAGGTATTTTCTGTGATTATCGAAAATTACGAACTGCTCGTACGTGATTTTTATTAAAACGATCTATCATACCGGCACACAGAGGACCAGATATCCTTCACGTGTCATATCAAAAGAGGCGGCCTCGACTTTCGGGAAGATTCTATCTACGAACTTGTACAGTTTATCGGATACTTTCGTGAGTAAAAATATCCCATGACTATTCTTAAATAGTCAATGACGCCGAAGGATGACATTTCGATGGCGATATGACGGTCTATGTCGTCAATATAAAGTCAATCCTCTGACGTCATTTTGCCGTCTAAGTTATTATCAGTTTGCGGTATTTCGCGCGCGCGAATTGATCAACATGATATTGTTGCAGGTTCCGCGATGGACAACGACGTCGACAATCTCCTACCGAATCAAAAACTTAGTAATTCCAGCGGTTCAGACAACAAGTATATTTCATCTTCAACTGCATACATAAAAAACAAAAATAATGCCGTACCGCACAACCGGTACACTCACATTTCACTTTGCAGATTAGTCTTCGTGGGTACGGGGCGTCTTCAGACTCCTCAACTCATCCGGGAATTATCCGTGACGGACAACACGAAGTCGGAATTCACGTCCCGCCATAGTCTCGAGTGGAAATTCTTGTTCCTGGATCACAGAGCGCCGCCCATTATCGGATACCTGCCTTTCGAGGTGTTGGGCACTTCCGGTTACGATTATTATCACGTGGACGATTTGGATAACGTGGTCACGTGCCATGAATCACGTGAGTATTAAAGACGAAAGGGGAGAACCATTCCCCGCGCGGCAAATTATTAATCTACGCCACTTTGCTTTTGCTTCGTTAGTGATGCAGAAGGGCGAGGGAACGTCCTGCTACTACAGGTTTCTCACGAAGGGCCAGCAGTGGATTTGGCTACAGACCAGGTTCTACATCACGTACAATCAGTGGAACTCGAAACCTGAATTCATCGTGTGCACGCATTACGTGGTCAGTTATGTCGACGTAATGAAGGAATTGCGCGCGGAAACGGGGGGTTACGATAAAACACAAAGTCAGGATGTTTTACTGCCTGTAAAACAAGTAAGACGTCATGCGTAAATACGCAACCGTAGAACACTGTAATCGTCAGCGACAAACCGGGCCGAGCGAACAGAAAGAAAGAACGGGGGAAACTCCGTTCTCGCCGATATCGTCGCGGAACAATTATTCAAATTAGAAGTCGTGCTAAACGAATGTCACAAGGTCTATTTTTTCACGCTGGACTGTGGCTATGGCACTTGTGGAATTAAAAAAAAAACTGTAAAAAGTTCAGACTTGGAAGAGAAACGAGGAGGATAGAGAACCAATACAAACTAGTGCGGTAAATTCAGCGTAAAAGAACAGACCCATTAATGAACTCTCCTGACCTCGTACGTTGTGTTCACGCTCGACAAACTAATCATTCCGTCATTCGTACAGGTGACCGCATCCTGCCAAACACCGTTGGCGCAATGGGCGAGCAAGTCGTCGAAGACGCCCACCAAATCGATGACGGTCGGCTCCAATCTACGTCATCGTGGCGACGGCTCCAACACGTCCTCGATATCCGTCTCATTGCGGAGCTCACCGCAGTCGCAAATAACGCACGGATCGCGATCGAACACGGTCTCGGCGAACAGTTCCGTGGTATCGAAGCCAATAGCGTCGGTGGACAGCAGGCAGCCGCAGCAGCAGCCGCAGCAACAACCGCAGCAGCAACAGCAGCCGCAGCATCAGCTGGATGTCAGTCAGCCGTGCATCAATTTCATAGATCCTGCGCAATACACGACGGTCAATCTGCAATCGGTCGTCACCGCAGGATTCGCGACACCTGCTGCTCCTATTCTCTCGAGCGTGCCTACTCATGAGGTGAAGGGATAAGTAATTCAAGCTCGACCTGCGTCGTATTTTACGCATTCGTGCGATGCGACGAAAAATATTCGCAACTATATGATACGCACGGTCGGTTGCAAATTGCGAAAAACGAAAGATGTTTCGTTTCATTTGAGGTTTTATTTGACGTTAAAGTGTAATCTTCAATTCGCGTTTTTGCATATTAGAGAGAAAGATGGTATTATGACTTTCACATCGGAAATAAACTACATTCAAGTAAATAAGTACTCCATATAGTTCCGAGCAACATTTTGATTTGGTTTAAGTAAATTTTACTTGGATCGAGTAAACATATATTAATGCAATCAAAATTTGAATGTAAACAAAAAGTGTTGAATTTAAATAATATTTACTTAATCCGAGTAAAAGTTTTACCAAGTATTGGAGTGATGATTTACCTAAATGTAGCACTTTTTTTATTTAATGCATTTACATTTTGTTGTTGTGAATATTTTAAATTAAAAACTGAACAATTGCACCTGTCAAAGTGTTATTCAATCGATTCTAGATTCAAAGCTGTGAAATATTTATTACTTAGAATGTTATTTATGAAAATAAGGCGACATTGCATAATGGATTGAAGAGAAACAGGGTTGACAATGAGGCTCCCAACTAAAGCAAATTAAAAAAATTTGTTTTGTTTAAAACACATTTTCGTTAGAAAATTATATATATATTCAAGGCCACACTAGCAAAATGCTATGCTATTATTTAACTTTGCATAACTCGAAATATGTACAATCGAATGAAATGTTAAATAACGAACAAAACGTTCAAATGTATGTATATTCGTGTGATGATACGCTTAAGTTTAAGAAGAATGATAAAGTATACATAATTAAGTGCTAAAATATACCTTGAAAACGTTTCGAAATATTCCAAAGTAATGCGTTATAACAAATGCTGAATGTTGTGAGCTGGCATATTGGCGTCACTACGTAACGACGGACAACTAAATAAATGATACCATAAGTAATAACTAGAATTCATCACTTACTTGAATATCACTTAATGGAGATATTAAGAGGGGCATAATATCATCTTCTCCTTTAATAATGAAATAAATATTAAATATTATCTATTGAAGATTTTTATCTTCTTTTATTCGATGTATTCCAGATATTGCATCAACAGGGCATCGTGATGACTCCGGCGCAAAATCAAATACAGGACGAGCTGCAGCGAAAACACGAGGAACTGCAACAGCTGATCGTTCATCAGCAGGAGGAACTGAGAAGGGTCTCCGAGCAATTGCTGATCGCTCGATATGGGATTCTCACGCCGTTACTCAACGTTCGTAAAGTTTCTTGAATTTTTCCGATAACGTTTTCTAAAACTCGATAGTATACCTTATTGGGACGATACTATAACAATTACATGTCCAGAATTACTCGATTTAATAGAGCTCAATTTATTGCCTAGAACTCTTAGGCGATCTCCTCTTTTTTATGTGAATCCATATCGTACGACATATGATATTTATTCTAGCTTAAACAGGCTCTGTTTAATTAGGAATTCAGTCTGACTTTTTATTAATAGATTTCTTTCATCCGATACCATCCGCTTTTCGGCGTTCTATTCTGCAAATCTCTGATAAATCTCTATAAAGTCTGTATTATTTTTCATTGTCTGTCTATCTGCGAAATTACATTTTTCGCATACTAAAGTAGAGGTGCCCCGTTAATAAAGATTATTATTATTATTATCACAATTGGCTATCCAAGGATTTACGAACCGAATTTCTGCTTCAGGCGGGTATACCATATAATCCGTCGAATCCATGTCAACAAGCCAACCGGTGCAACACCAATAACACCAACGTCCAGTTGCCGACATCTAGCAGCGTGCAGAGTGTTAACGTGCTTCCCATACCGATCACCGTGCCTATAGTGCCCACAGAATTATTCTCGCATCCTTTGCAAGTGAGCCCATCGCCAGGCTCGACGCACGGCACAGTGGGCGCTATAATTCAAACCCAACAGCAACAGCAGCAGTTGCAGCAGCAACAACAACAGGGCCCGTCACAGCCGGAAGACAGTAACCCCGATCTCGTGCCTTTCCAGATCTGTCCCCAACAGGCCGAGATGATTTACGGTAACATGGAGACGTCGTCGAATCAGCACCAGAGGTCTGCGCAAAATTAAAGAGACCGTCTTCCGTAAACGGACGTTCCGATTGTACCTGTCGATTTGCGAATACAAACGAAGTACGTCCATCTCCGAGCCGAGAAGTCTCCCGAATTCTTCCAGAGCCAACTTGTTTGCTCAACGCGACGAAGGAATTGCAAAACGACGTTTATCGCTGCAATTGCAAGCGTCACAGTTCCGTTCGCACGATAACTGCGTCCTAGGGAAACGCATGCGTCACGAGTTAGGAAAGTAACGCAGGGAGACAACCGATGCGTGCTAGAAAATAGCGGCTGATGCATTCTAAACGGTAACATACGACTTCGGCCGCATTCTGGCACAGCGTTGTGAGATTTTTATATATATCGATGTATTTACGTTCGACCTGATCCAAGGGTCTCCACGTGCGGATGCGTTGAGCGCAAGTCGATCGCGCGAGTAACTCTTTACCGCCTAATGATCGTTGTACATTTGTTCATAATCGTATCTATCTTTTCCTCGTTCGGCCGACTATTGATTCTCATATGAGAGAGAGAGAGAGAGAGACTAGTAGGCATTCATTAAGGTTCCGGAATAGTCAGCTAAGAAATCCGCGTTGACAATAGCAACACAATTCAAAACGACGAAAGAATGAACTAATAGAATACGTTCAGCAAGCGCTACAAATGCTTCGAAGCATTTCTCCTTCTTCATTTGTCTTTTGCGTCCGAATAAAAGAAAAAAAGAAGAAACGCTTCGAAGCGTTTGTAGAGCCTGCTGTACCGCATTTACATGTCTGAAGAGTAGCGTATTGATAACGAAATTTTATGTTACATTTCCTTATTATTTGCTTAATTATGTAAGTGTGATTTGTGACATACTTATTAAACCTGTAAAAATGGACAGAAACTAAGACTAAAACTAAGATTAGCTTGGAATTTTATACGTGGGAGCATATTTTCCACCTCTTTCAACAGCTATGAAACCGTGTATTTTCCCACATAAATAGAACGTTATTTCACGTGCCTTTTACGGCTATTTATTGACTGTCAGGAGGGAAAAGGAGAATTTTCGTCCATTTTCACAAGTGTCTTTAAGCAATCTCAAGTGTTGCTTTATCCAAATATCTTTCTATTTGCAAATGGCACGCGATAATTCTCGACGTGTCATTTCTCGTCTATGAATCGTCACGAATCCAATATGATCGCGGAGACTCGATTCCGAAGCCTTAATCGCGGAAGTTCTCAAACTGCAAGGCAGTGCGGTGAAATTCCCGAGTACTGTTCCATTTGTGTGTATATTGCATAAGATCATAATTTATATGAAGATAATGGTTAGCATGTATACGAGCGAGAGATACGAGGAAAGTATTTAAATAAGGAACAATACTTATTGTACGATTTCTATGTAAATTCTGGTCTCTCCGAGACTATAAGCGACGATCGTCGAATCTCGCTATATTTTCTGTACGAGAATGTAATTTATATATATTTATAACGACGAGATTGCCAAACTGCGTAAGATTCTACTTTGTATGGAGGAGAGCGCGATGACGAAGTATCTAACAGTCACCGTGCTCTATTGTGTGTGTATATTGTATAAAAGTTAGAGATAACGAGAATTTGCGATAATTCTCGCGCCGGGAGGATCTACGAAAAGGTGCGCTCTACCGTGAAATAGTAAGAATATATTTAATATGGAATTTCTACGTGAATTTTTCGGTACTCTATCAAGGACACGGTTGGACCGTATCGATAAGACATAAGTCGTTCGCGATAGACGACAAAAGGAGCTCTGATCAAAATCAAACACATCACATTTTTACATATTTATTGGATTTATTTTTCTAATAAGCGTCGTCGAGTCATCGGAGAAGGGACCAAACTCCGCATTTTCCGGAACAGGGTACGTACTCACACATTTGTATATGTATACGATGGTGAAGAAAGTAATATACTATATATTTTGTTGTATATGTATATGTACAATGTATCATTTTTTCATACATATTTAATGTATCATAATAGATGTATATTGGATCATTATACTAGTTCATAATCGTTGTTTCCGATGAATATATCGTGAGTGTCAGGCAGGAGGCGTTCTAACGAAATCGTGTCGTGGGAATCATAATGTCACGATGTCACGAGACGTGACACCCGAGTCGACGTAACAATGTTTTACGAACGCATTGCGTTAGAATGACGATACGAAAGTTAACCTAGATCGGTATAAATAATTGTTGGCAAATAGAAAGTAAAGTTGGCGATTTTATATCTCGTACGCGTGTTTAAATTCTGACGTAAATACATATCGATTTCCAAAGGTTTTGGAAATCTTTATATATGCGCCTCGACAGGTTTCTTGTTTTCTAAAGATCGATGATCTTTCTGTTTTCTTCTGCCGCCAATTGTATAAATTTGCTATTTTCAATAAAAAACGATGCGAACAGTGACCATCCGGTACATTAGTTAAACCTATCAAAATTACATTAGCGTGTCTCTAATTAATATAATTCCATCAAATCGTCTTTCTTTCATATGTTTATGAGAATTGTGAAAAAATTCCTGAAGAGTTTTACGAGAAGATTAAAATAAACGCATGGTTTTTATAATGTTCTTTATTTGCGTATCATTTTAACAAAATCTAGCGAGTTGCTTACAATATATTATTGCAATAGCATTTCAATACACGCCATACAAAAAGATTATTGACAATAATATACATATGAAATAATGTAATGAAACAATATATATATATATATATATAATTAGCGTAATATTATATATGCTAATATAATTTCATATAATATGTAATTATATATTATATATTATATAATTATATTATATATTACATATTAGGCATTACATTATTTTCTTTTCGCTAAATTTAACTTTAGTGCTGCAGTTTCTTCAAAGCGTCCATCAGAATTTGCACTTCTTGATTCAGGTTATTCGTAAGGGTCTCCACTTGTTGTTTGCTATCGATAATGCTGATGCTCTGCGTGTAAGCGTCATATCTGACACCGAATTTCCTCGGTATAGTTTGCGCGAATTTTCTAAAATTAGAAAAACATTATTCGCTATTTGTTCGTCAATCGTAATTCGACATTTAAGCTCGGTGTGTGCGATCAGAGAAGCGTCTGGATATTGCATCGAATGGCCGTAACATTGCATTGCCGTAACATCTAAACAATAATGGAGCAATACACGTATGTATGCGATGAGATTTGACTCAGCGGCCATGGGTGTTATCGTCGTGCGCAGATCAATGTCACTCATATTGAATTAGTGGAGAAAAATTGCGATTCGCTTGAAATAAGTGTTATAAAATATCATATCATGTATGATAAAATAGCAAACTTCATAAAAAGCATTGTCTTGGCATAAGTGGTAAGGTGATTTCGTCGATCCGCTTCATTTATTTCTAATTTCGTACTTACATCATCTTCTCCTTCGCGTCCTCGAAGTTTTCCGCAACGAAATATACGGGTTGATATTCCGTTATCGGATACTTTTGCAAAGCTGTCTTCGGCGGATCAAACGGTTGCAATTCCGGCTTGCCGCTCAGGCAATATTCCAATTCGCCGAAAGACGAGAGCAGACCGGCGCCGTAGGCCTTTAATTCCCCATTTTGCTGACATATTCCGTATTCCACCGTGAACCAAAAGCACTGCGAGAGCAAGTTGAACTCATGAACTCTTAAATTCAGTTCGATATTTAATTCAGTTGCTGTTTTCTTTCTTGTTTTCTAACAAGGTTACCTCCTACTGAGAATAAGCGATGGTAAGCGAGATTAAGTCGATGTTTACATCAAATACAAATAGAATAACACATGTTGGTTTTGCAATGGATAACTTGACAATATATATGTTTAAGAGCAGTTACGAAACAGCTACGAGCCAGCAAAATATTAATATAAACTTATTTGTGAGAGAAAATTAGCGGAAGAAAATTGGTAAGGAAGTTAATAAGAGAATCGCAGCTAATGTCCTGCTTCAGAATTGCATTTGGTTCTGAATGGAAGTAAGCTGCGATAAACTGTAATTGGTTTCAGCTTGCAAGGTATTTAGATTTAGCGATAAAAAGAAAAATTTTATGAGTCCTTGTTACCGTCGCGAGTTTCTCTATGTAATCGTCCGGAGCACCGAGGGAGGCCAGACCAATGGTTTGCGAGAACTGTGCAAAGGCCGGATCAGCGAAAAGCGGTGCGTGACCTAAGACCTCGTGGCACACATCCGGCTCCGGCGTGTAGAGCGGTTTGCTGCTGTGTCGTATGTACTGCGTGCTGTGAAACACCCTGAAGGCTAAGCCGGCGAGAAAATCGCGCGAAGACAACAGTCCTGCTACTGGACGTAGCGTGAAGCCAGTGGAGTCTAAAAATAATCGACACCAAAATAATCGATCTCTGTCACGATATCGTCGTGACACAATGACGCGTTAGAAACTTTTCTCAGAAAATCCCCTCCAGATCGAGTGAGCGTGACCTATGTGATTTTGGATCAATACTGAGAGAGAGAGAGAGAGAGAGAAAGAGCAGGGATTTTTTCTATATGATGCACGAGGAATAAATAAGAAGCGTCACCTTTCAAAAAATTCGATATATCCTCGAGTTGGGGAATGTTATCCTCACGATAACCACAATTCTCGATGAGCAATGGGAAAACGTGATTGTGTTCCCTGCAAGCGTATTTCGGATAGAGTTTCGTCAGGTTCCTGAAGACCATGCCCCATGTGGCTACCTCTTCGGGCGTGTACTCCACCCTCGGAATAGGTTGTCCGCTAAAATATCCCATAGTGTACGTTAATCCTTCCTCAGGCCAACTTTCTGGGGCAAATGTTCGCTCGACTCACTGTTTGTAATGATAAGCGATGTCGGCGAAATATTTTCTTCTCTTCCTGTACACGGGATCGGTGAAACCGGGGTGGTCACTGTCGAGCTCTGCGCCGTATGACAGAATCTGATTAGCGAACTTGTCGAGATCGCGTATCCTCCGGGGAAACCACGGCACTGTGTCTATGTTGTCTCTGTGATTTCTGAAAACATATCACAGTCGCCAGCTGACATCCGTGTCTTTTATCAACTTGACTAGACTAACATCAAGAAGCGATTTGGGTATGCGAATAGCGAAGATGTTTCCTCAAAGAGCGAATAACTGTACATCGGAGCGAATTCACAAAAATCAAAAAATATCCTTTGACGAATCTTCCAGGCTAGATGAGGGTAGAATATTTCTTAGTTGAAATTCAATTAATTTAATTTAATTTTATGCCAATTAGAGACAATGCGACAAATTAATCTTTGAATGTGTTGTGAACTCCTACCTAGAAATTATTGAGAAATAGCTGCACTGACTTCGTAGAGATTCAATCACGAAAGTGATATTACCACCTGGCGCGCATTCCACCATGAATTCATAGCCGTTTGGTTGTCGGAGAGAACTTCGGGACTCGATGTGTAAGAGATTCACTTTGTGTTCCTAAAAATAATACGCAAATTTCGAGCGTGCGTTTTCTCGTTGACATCCATCGCGAAGATTAGTCGACGAAATTGCACTCACGGTAAAGAGCTGGAGATATCGTCCCAGCGAGCCAATTTCGTCCTCTTCGTTGGGACAGAAAATCAAGCAGATGCTTTTAGCCGAGTCCCAGCCTTCTCTGATGTAATTCCCGCCACGGATAAGTTTTGGCTAATAAGTAATTCATTTGAACAAATAATTCATTTGAAAATAATAGTGATTTAGATCCATCATTACGCGGTAAAACGGTTCGCTAAATGTTTTCGCTTTATGTTACTTTAATAGGGGGAACGTGTTAAAAAGTACACAAATTCATGTTAAATTATGGCATTCGTCTTGTCAGCATATGTTTTTACTGTTCTTTTTGCTATGTAGAAACGTAAATTAAAATTTAAAATGTTCACGTAATTCAGGAAATATTGAAAAATGAACATTGATATTATTATTCCACACATTTGGTTTATTATCAAAATATTATTATTACTATTTTATTTTACTGAACGCACAAAATATACGAAATTCTTTTGAAATCAATATAATTCATATGTTTTACGTTGAAAATTGTCACACACGGACGTACTAGTTCTGTCGCGACTGCCATCCTATACGATCAAATGTTTATGCGATCTTGAGAATATTCGAATATTGTTGCGCGTAAGTGTAAGTGTGAAAATTGTCAGAGAATTGAATGAAAAATCGAACGTAATCTAAACCGCAAAGTGAGCGGATATGCCAAGACTGTCTGATTATTAAACTTCTTTAGCTTATATATATGTTCTCATCAGAACTCCCCCCTTGTTCCAGTCAGAGCAGGTCGTGTTTCATGAAAAATCTGTAAAAATCGTTTTCCGCATACATATCGTTTTCTTTATCAATTTGTTCCGTACACGTGTCATCGACGCGATTGCGCGAATAAAATGACAACAACTAGAACGGCCAATTAAAATATCTCCATGTGAAATAAAGTATCTCCACGAAGGACTTTGCATCAATTTAATTATACAGAGCAATTTAAAAGTCAAGGCCGATTTCCCGTGTGATTCACTCGGTAATTCGAAGAAAGGTAATACGTCATTCGCATCGCCGTTATCTACAAATGTCAACTTGGAAAACAGCGAAACCGAATCCTAAAGAAAAATGCTCAATAATAATAAACATTTCATTTGTTATGCTGCTCCGGAGTTCTTATCGCTCGATTCGTGACGTTGCTTACGAATTATTTGTTATGAAGTAAACTTTTTCCTTATACGTATCTACATTTATCTGCGGATTGATCCAATTAATTACGGTATTAGATCAACGATTTATTAACTAATAATATAATTAATCATCACTTTCATTCGATCGTTATATATAGAGAAATCTTTAACAGAGACCAGATTTCACCTATCATTATATATAGATATATCGATCGTTATATATATTGTTATATTAGGTTGGCAAGGATGAAATTTGTAGTTAATAATATTGCCAACTGTAACAGCTTATTATTTGACATTGGCTTAATATATTACCGTTCTGTTTTTTTTTGTTGGAAAGTTACGTATCTCGCCTGTTTAAAGAAATCATTGTAAGCTCTAAAAAATATTAAAATCTTTTTTTAAAAATTAATTTTGTTGAAAATGGAACGGTCGGAAATTCGCACTATTATGAATGATGAGTTCTTACGTGGAACTACGGCATCGCGGACCGTGCGAAACATTAATAGTGTATTTGGCTCTAGTGTTACTACGCAGCAGATGATATCAAATTAGTTCACCAAATTTCGTACAAATAACTTTGACTTCACAAGTGAGCCACGCGGTCGTCCAGAATCAAAGGTCAATAGTGACGAACTAAAGGTCACCGTTGAGTTTGACCCATTTCAGAATGCCTATGAATTATCGTCGTAGTTTGGTATTAGCAAACAAACAATATTAATTCATTTATCTTAAGTCGATAAAATGAAAATTTAGATAAGTGGGTTCCACATGAACTGAATGAAAAACAGAAACAAAAGTGTTTGGAACCTTGCTTGATGTTGCTTTCTCGTCACAAATCTGATCCATTTTTTAATCGAATTATCACTTGTGATGAAAAATGGATCCAATATGACAATCGCAAACGTTCAGCACAGTGATTGGACAAGGATGAATCACCAAAACACACTCCAAAGCGCAATATTCATGAAAAGAAGCTGATGGTGAGTGTTTGGTGGTCTAGCGCAGGTGTGATCCATTATGATATCATGAAACCTGGCTCATCGATCACAGTAGAAATATACTGCAACCAACTGGACGAAATGATGCAAAAACTTAAAGAAAAACAGCCTAGATTGGTCAACAGATCGACTCCTATCTTATTGCATGATAACTCTAGACCACACACTGCACAAAAGACTGGCAAAACTACAGGAATTGGAGTTGGAACTTTTTCATCATCCTCCATGCTCACCAGACCTAGCCCCCACTGACTACCACTTCTTCCGCAATTTGGGCAACTTTTTAATAGGAAAACAATTTAATTCCGACAATGCTGTAAAACTGACCTTCCAGGAATTCATTGACTCTCGTCCGTCAGGGTTTTATACCACCGGCCTGAACAACTTACCGCTTAAATGACAAAAGTGTATGGACAATATGGGTGCATACTTTGATGAATAAAATAATTCCTTATGTTTGTAAGTTATCAACCAACTTTGCCTTTTTTTCTACAAATTTCATCCTATCATGATATATAGAGAAACCTTTAATAGAGACAAAATTTCATCTCTTTACAATGAAACTTGCAAATGTTTTGTACGATGTACAAAACATATGTGCTTTCCAAGCACAGACAACGAATTCGATAAGCAGTAATGTACAATGTCAATTAATCGCATCTTTTTACCATGATTACGGATAAAATCGGAAATTGATATTTTAAGATTGCGAGAAGTAATATCAAGGAGTTATTGTTTAAGGAAGAGATACAGACTAATAATTTTTAACGCGACGGTAGGTTGTTTGTGTATTAAAAAATCTGTAACAGCCCGAAGACCGACGAAATAACAATCGAGCTTCGCGTTTTTGATTGAAGTTGGTAGTCTTTTGATAGCTTCTTTGCACAAAGTTCGAAGTATGTATAAGAATACGATTAAAAAAATATAATCTTCATTTATGAAGAAAAGAAATAAATATGTTCTTATCATATTCTTCTCTAACACTAAATTGTCTTACCGTGTCTGGGGGTGTGTTGTCCAGAATGTATTTCCCCTTTTCAATTTGATCCGGCATTTTAGTTTGGCCCGGCATTTTAATTTGGTCCAACTTTTCAATTTGCGGAGTTCTTTGGACATACATCCTCGTGTACGGAAGTCCCAAAGCACACGTGGTCCGGCTCGAAATAACTAGGCTGCCTTCTTGCTATTCAATGATGCTACAACGATGAACTGCTGTTACGCGCGACGGGTTAAACGGCTTTAACATTATTTGATGGAAAAGTAGCCTTCTGCTAAATACATATATGTACGCTGTATGAAGCGCAAGCGCAAGAGAAAATCTGTGAAATAAGTGACAAAAGGTCGAGAAAGTTATCGCTGTGTTGACACGTGATAACGTTATATCAGTACAATCGTGAAGTTTGAGAACTTTATATTCGTACACAGGTATATAAATATTATATCGAATGTTGCATAGTTTAAAATGTCTCCCGAGCCATAATCATTAATAATAATAATCCTTCTTAACTTTTCATTGTCATTAGTTACAATGATAATATGATACATGGGATAAAATATTTTCAAGACCAATAATAATATAATGGAAATGGATAATAAAGGCAAATAATAATCAGACACTGATGTCGGAACGACCCCAATATTTAATAAAAAATATATTTATATTTAAGGACGTTTCGGTCTTAATCGTTTCGACTCTTTTCAAAGTAAAATGACAATTTAAAAAATCGAAATTCATGCTGTTATAATGCTTATTATGAAACGCATATAAAAGAGTATGTTAAATTCGTACCGACGATGAATTCATAAAAATATAAAAAATAGATTCTTGCTATGTCTAAAAGTAAAATAAATAGCCAGTTTTTAACGATACTCCGAGGGAAATTATAAATATTTTCATTACTATAATCCTTTTATAGTTTTAACCACAAAAATAATACTAAGAATGTAAAGTTATCATCACTAACACATTAAAGCAAGACGTTTGTGTGTAGTTTTACAAACTCAGTAGGTTGGACGGTCGAGAAAATGTATACAATGTATATCTAGGTTTATGTAGATAAATATTATGAAATATTTGTATTGAGACAACCAAAAAAAAATTTAGGATAGAAATGATAAACTCAAATATGATGAAATCCACTGCATATTCTTTTAAATTAAGGCTACCATGTTGGCGTTTGATGAAAAATATTTTATATTATTACATATATATTTTTATATATAATTAGCCTGTATCTGAGATCTCCACATTTTCTCAATTAAACTCATATCCATCACTTCTATGTTGAAACAACAAAATAATAATTATTAACTATTAACTTGTGATAGTTGATTAGGATACTTTTTTTATACGAGTTTTTAGTTGTTTACTGTTGTTTAACCGACGAGAATTGATCCGGTAAACCATCCCACCTTGGGATTCGTTAGGTAATTTATCTTTGTCCACATCTTTGTGCACTTTGACAAATAAATTCGGCATGAATTGGGCATGTTATTTTTATTTCTGTTACTATACAACTAAAACGCATAGGCGACCAATGTTTTTCAGTTTGCGTGACTACACGTAAACTTTTAATATATTTTTATCGCGGGAGGCGCGAATATTAGCTTCTTCACATTTTTGTCCGGATATTCCTCGTGCCTGCACCTCATTCAGCTATAGCCTCGCATTTCTATTTGTCGTGCCCTCCCGTTCATCGAGAGGAATTTAATTTAATTGAACGGAGCTTCGAGCGACCTCGATATAGCGATCGCTATAGCCCGAGTCACTACGTCGCTCTACGTGTGACGATTCCACTCCTCCGTTTTTCTTCCCTTGCACAGCGGGAATGTCTTATGTCGCCATTTTTGCGCTCTTGATCTGAAGTTATATATCGACGGTTTATCGACAGCTATCGGTTTGGATATTTGCCGTTACGCAGCTACTTAATAATAAGATCGGACGCCGAATAGGCGTGTACGAAACGTTTTGGACATAAACACACGCAGTGTGCGAACAGCACGCAAGTAAAATCGAATGCTTGGCGCTGTACGTAACGTATGTAGCGAAGCGCCATCAATCTTATCGTCGAACGTTTGACCCTCGCTTCACCCGTCGTGGCGAGATGTACAAATGTTATTGATATTTCTCTTTTTCTGCAATATACAGCGCATTGCCATGATAGCGTACTTGCGTATATACGTCAATACCCACACAATATATATATATATATATATGTGATTTGATAATGCAGCTGGTGATCTTTGTACTGAGACTCGAGGAAGTTGGTTGATTTCAGTTGGAAAGAAGATTCGACGAGGGAAACACGCGGCAGGCAAGCTTATTTCGTCCGGATTCTCGGTAAGAAACAATCGAGATTGTTGTCGGGTGGGTGAGAAGACCGCGTTGATATTCGTGTCTCCTAACACGCTCAGTGGCAAATGAGATTCTCGAAAGAATTTTATCATATCGACCAATACGATATGGAAGTTTAGTGAAGTGATGTTGCTCAACACCACCTATTGGTTATCGGATTCTAAAAGGACCTAAGCAAATATAACTTATGCATACCAAATGAAGGAAACTACTTTCCAGCTTTTCAACATTCGTTCAGTTCAAATATAACGCGTTTGTTACACGGTTCATTTCGGGAAACTCTCCTCGCATATCGTATTACATTTGTTTTTATGTAATTAATTTATGTTTAATTATGTGAAATGGACTTAATTCGTTCATGTGAATGTAGAAAGAAAAATTCTCGCTCTGTCACGTATATCGCGTAGTGAACGTGTTATAAGTAGAATTAAAAATTTGGAGTAAAATGAAACTTGAAGTGAGAGATCGGTGCATTACACGTGTGTGACGCTGATAACAAACATGTTAACTGTTCTCCGAGACACGATCTTCCCGATCTGTTGATTCTAATAGTTCCGGCACATGGTGATATAAAATAATATAAAACCCATGACGTTTCTACAATACGATATGTTTTAGTCGGTCTGTCACTTTCCCTCGAAATAACACTAATAACTAATCACGAATTCATTATTTTCCAGAAACAAGCGAATGTTACCCGGTCGTTTACCTGGCGCTTAATTCAAGGGAATCAGCGATCGATCTTACATGGATTCGAATTTATCACCCGCTACGATTAACCGATCTGTTACTTGCACCACCTTCGATGCATATCTGAAAGGAAAGCGACTCGAGAGCAGTCCCTACAGAAGCAGACGCTTCTGCAAGTGGAAGATTGTTGCGGATAACACAGGGCAAACATGAGCCTCGATTTTGTCGCCGGATTCTTTGGAGGTAGAGTATTATATTTCGCGAAAATTCATTTCGCACATATTCCGTTTTAAATTCTGTCTTTTGATTCGCGCTTTTACTCAAGCGTATTATAAATGTATGTTATCAATGCATCGAAGTTATTTATGGTTTGCGAAATTTAAGCTGTTTATCCGATAAACAGATATAACGGCGTGGAGATTTGTATTTCGCTTCAATTATCATCTGTTTCTGCGTGATACGTTAAAAGTTGTTTTAAAAGCTTCATGACTTGATTCGATTATCGCAGGTCAGAAGTAACGTATGTGGAAATTGTGTGACGACGTTAAAAACATCTTCGTTTTTTATTAAATTCATGATACGAGAATCAAAAATGTAGTTAATGCCTGTATCAGCCTTTGCATTGGTGCTTGTATTATCTTACAAGAAAAAGAAAGAATTCAATGTCGATATAATTTAACTTTTCACGATAACTGCTGCATATTAATCAAATATGAAGCAACAAATCCACGTACGCAAATTCTCGCAGCAGAACTTTCACCTCGATATAACGAGGCTTTTTTTAAATACCAGGATGTGCCGGTATTGTTGTGGGATATCCCTTCGACACGGTCAAGGTCCACATGCAGACGCAAGATTCTCGAAATCCGAAATATCGGGGCACCTGGGACTGTCTGCGTACCATACTCGCGAAAGAATCGGTATTTAAAGAAAGATTACATACATTTTAGAGAAGAACGAATATAAAATCATATCAATATTCTTGAATCTGCACAGAAAAAAGATTTTACTGACGCAGTTAATCTATGGTTTAGCTGAAGATATTTTGCTACTGTAACTAAGATTGACTTTGGTTACCGTTGCTGGATGAATACCATGCCTGTACAGGAAAAAATAGTCTTTAAATTAAGAATAGATATTCTTATATATAAGCAAGAATATTATAATTTGATTAAAGATTGATTTTTTTCTATATGATATGTGTCTGCTACTGCTAAATTTGTAAGCTTGTAACAACGGAAATTCAGCTGGGCTGAGCATAGATACAAGTTTAGCTACGGTAAACAAATGTTAGAGGTGGCACCTGTACACCTAGCGACAGTAATTGAAATTTCAGTTACGACAGCAAGTTTTTGGCTACAGCGGCGAAACATTTTCAGTTAAGCCACGATTGGCTGTGGCAGCGAAATCTTTTTTTCCGTGTGCTGTCATTGAAAAAACTCGCTCATTAAAAAAGATTTCGTTTCGAGAGACCGAAATGTTGTGTGCACAACAGCCGCTGTTGAGAGATCATAAAAGTCACGAGGACAACTCGATCGCAATTTCCCTGTCGCAAATCACACGACGTTTATTCATGTGTGTAGATGGCTGGCCTCTACAGAGGCATGACTTCTCCGATCGCGGGGGTCGCACTGGTGAATTCCATCGTCTTCGGCGTATATGGGCACACTCAGCGGCACCTGTCCGAACCCGATCGGCTGTCGACGTGCTTCCTGGCCGGCGCTTCCGCCGGCCTCGCTCAGACCCCCGTTTCTAGTCCGATAGAGTTAGCAAAAACGCGAATGCAGCTGCAGTCCTCGAGCCAGGGTGGCTCTCAGGGTCCGATGCAGTGCTTGAGGAAGATCTACCGGCGGGAGGGCTATCGGGGGGTCTTCAAGGGTCTCGGCATCACGTTCCTCCGAGAGGGGCCGAGCTACGGCGTGTATTTCGTGACGTACGAGATGCTGACGAGGACTCCCTCGAACCAACCGATCTCGACGTTCCACATGCTGCTCGCGGGTGGCCTCGCCGGCTCCGCTTCCTGGGTGATCTCCTATCCCGTGGACGTGATCAAGTCGCGCGTTCAAGCGGAGAGCGGCAATCGTTACTCGAGCTCTTGGGACTGCCTGAAGAAGTCCGTGCGCGCCGAGGGATACACTTGCCTGTTTCGCGGTTTGAACTCGACGATCCTACGCGCGTTCCCGATGAACGCTGCGACCTTCACCGTGGTCACGTGGATGTTCAGGCTGTTCGGCGAGCAGCCGAGCGAGGCGTCGAAGAAAGAGGAGGGCGGGCTGACCTCGAGCAAGCAACCGAGGAATCACTCGTCGAAGGGTTACGAGCCCTTCGCTAGCAAGTGGAACACCTTCTTCGACGGTATCTCGAGAAGCAACGGCTTCGTCGGATCGTACTCCGCTGCTTCCATATTGTCCATCAGCGGCCTGATGCCGGACAACAGCGCCTGTCTGGTTCACAACTGCAGACGATCGGGCTGCAAGCATGACGCGTCGGGCCCGAGGAACGCGTGCGGGAGTACGGAAAGGAGCAAGAGAGAATCGAGGAACGACGGGGAACTCGAGGAGGAGGAGGATGAGCACGTCGGCGAGCAGAAGGAAACGGATTGGAGCAACGTCGAGTCCGCCATAACCACGTGCACGTGCAATCCGCAACGCGCAGCCGATGTCTCGAAGCTGGGTGATACCTGAGCTGGGTTGATACCTCGGCGAGTATGTTCAGCGTGCCGGCACGATTATTTCTTACCGAGAATCCGGACGAAGTGATTCGCGCGCGAGAAAGGAAAACAATACTCGTCTAGAAAGAGATTCTTTCTCACGATTAAATTAATAAACAACGAATTAGCATAAGAAAAATTGTAAGACAGAATGTGCAGACCGAGTGGATATTAATAAGTTAAAGAATGTTTTATGTGTGACGAGGATGTGAATGAGATTTTGCATAAGTTTTACAAGCGTGAAAGCGCGTACGCTTTAAATTCGATGGCTGACCGAGCAAGTAGGAAAATGTCTAGGAATTGTTGGGCGGAACGTGTCTCGGATTGGTTATGCGTAAGGACTTGTAACGATAAATATTCTGACTTCCTTTCTGTTGTTTCTCTCTTATCAGAGCTGTATATATATTCGATCGATTCACCGAAATTGGCGTGCTTTACAAATTGTTATAATTTATGTTTTTATAACGCTCTTTTTTAAATAAATGGAAGCAATGTTAATATTTGTGTCAAGCACCCGTATTATGAAGCAGGGACAGCAGGATCTCTTTTGTCAAGCAGCAGTCTCCGGCTTAACGGCGGACATGTAAGACTACATGTCATAGCCAAACGCGACGTTTATTCGCTTCTTAAAAATCACACAAAATAATTCGTATCCTGCTAACAAACCCCTCACCGTTTCTCCATTCCCCTTCACGCCCTCCTGCGTTCCTCCGGTGCATTTGCATCACGAATCGGCCTTCGATCTCTCGGCCCATGTGTCAAAATTTTGACATATTCTAAATTCCAGCACGTATAAACCCGACACGCAGCGGCGCGTTTCAGCCGTTCTCGATCGTCCTCAGCAATTGATCGCGAACGGAACTTTATCGTGACCACGTCTTCGTCTTATATTGAAAAATTGTCAAGTCGCGAATCGCAGAAATCAAGCCGAACCAGATCGATACGAAGTTCTAACCTTCCGAGCGACTAAATTCTCAAGAAATAGTTACTCTCATTCGGTAAGTACGAAATAAACTATTAAATGTAAGTTACGTAATTTTTTACGGTAACTCTCTCAACGTAGACAAACTGTTGGGAGGACCAGATTATGTTTATAATTTTATATATGCCTATCTTACATTATTCATACCTAACCAATGTAATTATACAATATTGTATTATTAATTTTTTATAACAGATGAAACAAATATATATATATATATATATATAATTTAACGTGATTTAACATTGTAACAATAAATTCTGTATCATTATTTTCAATCTCCTACAATGTTTCAGTTTAGTCTGCAACAATAATGCTCCAGTTCCTTCTTCCTCAACAGATTCGGAGAAACCGTTTAAACCAACAAATACATTTTAATGCTGTAATTCACGGCACAATATCGCGCCATTGTCGCGTGATTGCAAATCCGCACCGGCCGTTCGAATTTTGATATGGATGTAGAACCAAGTACCAGCCAGAGAAAAACCGAGACAAAATGCAACACGAAAAGCCAGCGTTTGATAGCCGAGAGTGGCGGCCGTTGTATGAGCACCCAAGCCATGCAATCGCTCAACGATTTCCGACAGAATAATCTGCTTTGCGACGCGGTCTTACGACTGGAGGACGGCGGTGTCTTTCCAATTCACCGGGCCATACTTTCAGCGTGCAGTACATATTTCAGGTTTAATTTTAACCGACATATCATCAGCGCAACTATTCCACAGCAACAGCTCTTCCCCTTTCTGTCAGAAAATTTGCAATAGATTCCCCAATTAATCTGACGAAATAAATTACATTGACCGTCGCGACTCTCGTTTCATCTGTTTCACAGAACTCTGTTCACGACGACGTTGCACTCCCGTGAGAAAACCGACGTGCTGCTGCCAGGCGTGAAGAGCCCGATGATGACTCTCCTGCTGGAGTATGCGTACCTGCGATCGATCGACATAAATCGCGAGAACGTGTGCGAATTGTTGACCACGGCGGATTACCTGAGCATTCTGGGCGTGCGCGATCTGTGCTGCGACTATCTGCGCGACAATCTGGCGCCGGAAAATTGCATCGGCATGAAGAGATTCGCCCGTCAACACTTCTGCAAGAAGCTGGAGACCGACGCTTATCGCTTCATCGTGGAACATTTCGTCGAGGTGCGATCGACGAGCGGCGATTCGTTTATTCGCTCGCGCCCCCTTCCTGAAATCCGTTCTCTTCGATCTACGCCAGGTATCCCAGAGAAGCGAAGAAATCTTGCATTTGCCCATCGAAGAGTTGCGATCGTTGGTCGGCGCGGACGAATTGAACGTGAAGAGCGAGCAGACAGTCTGGGAGCTGGTGCTGAGGTGGATCAACTACGACCCGGAGTCCAGGAAGGATCACATAGTCGACCTGATGCGGAACATCAGGCTCGGCCTCTTGGACACGCAGTTCTTCTTGGAGAACGTCAAGGATCATCCGTACGTCGTGGGCAACGACGCGTGCAGACCCATCATTATCGAGACTCTCAAATTTCTTTATGATCTGGAGATGATCACGCAGAAAGACGGCGAGGTGCCGACGCCGGAGATCGCGCGACCTCGAGTCCCGCACGAGATCCTCTTCGCCATCGGCGGCTGGTATGGCGGAGGGCCGACGAATTACATCGAGACGTACGACACCAGGGCGGATCGATGGATTCCGGTAATATATTATCGACACTTCGTGGACACGCAATTTGCCTCGGTATATTTTCATCGACAATTTTTTCACTCCATTTCTCTCCACTGAGAATTTCTCCTTTTCTGTTTCCGTTCAGTGTAACAATGAAATATTACTCATTATCAGTCTAGTCCCTCTTTTTTGTTGGCGAAAAAGTTTGTGATGAATACACAGTAAACAATTTTGCGTAAATAACGGCTCACTAAAATTGTTGTTATTTTAACATGAGAATATATTAAAAAGTGCACAAATATATTCACCTTGTTAAAGTAACATAAAAATGTCGGTGGACCGTTCTTTAAAGAAAATTTTTCGTTGTGTATATTTGAAGAGTTATCGGGAAAATATTTTTTGTCGAAAATAATTATTACTTATAAAAGAAGGAAAGTAAACTCGGTAATCGTTTATCTTTGCGGTAGAATGATATTTTTCTCTGTTTAGATCGAGGAAACGGACCCGGCCGGGCCGCGAGCTTACCACGGACTCGCGGTGGTTGGCTTCGATATCTACATGATCGGCGGCTTCGACGGGGTCGATTACTTCAACAGCTGCCGTTGTTTCAACGCGGTGACCAAGGTGTGGCGAGAGGTTGCTCCTATGAACGCCAGAAGGTCGAACATATTTCAGAACAGCTAGTCACTGATCCGAGCGCGACTCGGCTGGTATTAATCTTATTACACGATTTAACGGCGAGGTGGTGATTTTCGTTAAAGGGAGAATACTAACACAGAAGCTCAGTGACTAGCTCGTTGATAATGTCACTGATAATAAGAACTCGAGTCAGGAGGTTCTTGCTCGTTGCAGATGTTATGTTAGCGTGGCGATCTTGAACGACCTCGTTTACGCGATGGGAGGATATGACGGATACAATCGGCAAAATACGGTGGAGCGTTACAACTACAAGACAAATCAGTGGTCCCTCATTGCGTCGATGAACGTACGGAGATCCGACGCCAGCGCGACTACTTTGAACGGTACTGCTTTATCCTCACGGTGCCGTGTAAATATTAATTCTTAAATTACAAATTCTTGAAAAATATTTAAGAAATTTAAGAAATTTTTTAATTTCTAAAAAATTCGAAGAAAGAAGTCGTACGGGCACAACCGGGCACAATTGAAACCGGTACCAAATGAAATTGTATGGAACGCTGAAAAAGAATAAATGGGCTCATTTAGAGAATGTCACTGCGCCATCTATCGATCATCAAGTTCTTTGGAACTGACTTTCAGAAACAAAACAGAGGCGGACAGATTTGAAACTTATACATTCTTTTTCAGCATTTCGTAAGCTTTTATTTGATATCGGTTTGCAGAGCGCGAACGAAATCGATCTTTTTGCAAGTTTCTCTTCTACAGAATTTTTGGAATTTAAGAAATTCAGAAGAATTCTCGAAATTTTTATAATTTCCGAGAAATTCTGGGAAATTTCGGAAATTCTTTAATTTAAAAATTAAAAAATGTCGGAAGTTTCTGAATTAATTCTTTAATTACTTTTTTAACTTTCAAACCCGTCTATTTATTTTACGTAAAACAAACGTCATAATACTTACATTAGTGACTTCTCAAACACTCCAGACAAAATATATATCACGGGTGGCTTTGACGGGCATGACTGCATGAATACGGCCGAGGTGTACGATCCAAATACCAATCAGTGGACGATGATAACCGCAATGAGGTATCGCAGGAGCGGTGTGTCGTGCATATCTTATCACGGCTGCGTTTATGTTATCGGTACTAAAACATGCATTTCTCACGAAAAAGTTTCTATTGTGCCACCTATACGATTTAAATCGATAGTGAGTGCATTTATGAACGCGGGAGTATCGACCTGTTTCTCGACTACAATCGCTTCGGTGTAAACTATACATATTTGTACGGGCGACGCACGGCTATCCCGAAAATTTAACAATCATGGAATCAAGAAGATACCAAAGCTTTTTCGTTTATTACCATCTGTCTCACATCGTGAAACTAAATATCGCTGGACAATTAATAATCTTTCATCATGTTGAAGGAGGCTTTAACGGAATATCGAGAATGTGCAGCGGGGAGAAATATAAACCCTCCACGAACAGCTGGAGTCACATCCCCGATATGTACAATCCGCGCAGTAACTTCGCCATAGAGGTCATCGACGACATGATCTTCGCCATCGGCGGCTTCAACGGTGTGACCACAACGTATCAAGTGGAATGTTACGATGAGAAAACCAACGAGTGGTAACCGACTTTCGTCGTGTCGATTTGTCTTACGTTTGCACCGTGAAATATCCCGAGTCGAAGTTTTACTTTTACATTAAATCTATTTGGTTCTACATTGAGTCTTCAAGTAAGGGAAATGGAAATAATTTCTCATTTGTAGCATCAAAGAAGCACAATAGAAGACTTAATAAAGACAAAGGTTCATATTTCGAACTCATTTTTATCGGTAAAAGTGCTTTAAGTATGGTTTCTCCATCAATCGGATAATTTCTACGCTGCTTTTAAAGGTGCTCTTATCGATAAAAGAGAATTCAGAATATGGGCCTTAATGTAGAACCAAAATATAGACTAAAATTTCCACTCGGGGTGATAATATATCACAAAGATAATGCAGACACACAGTTTCTTGCGGTTCAACGAACCGCGACAGTCCGAATTGCCGTATGCGTTTTAAGTCCGGTACTGTATTTTTTCCATTTTCTTAACTTGCGGTTTAGGCTTAACCTGAGGGTAATGTAAAAATTACGTTTTTTCTTTATTCACGGTTAATTCATTAAAAAAGATTTTAATTGATTCTTTAAAAGATACCACTACAGATATCGTAGTCATGGTTAATGATTAACCATGAATAGAGAAACATAATTTTTGTACTATTACCAATTTAAATCGGAACAATAGTTAATGAAAAACCGAAAGAAACAGGCAATCTGTGCGTCATTTTAAACCTACGAACCTCCGAACGTAGGTATGAGGCGACGGACATGAATATGTGCAGGTCGGCATTGTCGGCCTGCGTGATCATGGGTCTGCCGAACGTGCACGATTACATACACAAGCATCGCGAGCGGCTGATGGAGGAGAAGCGGCAGAAGTTGCTGGCTCACGAGGTGCGTCGGAGTCCGCAGCAACAGCAGCAGCCACGACAGCAGCAACAGGAGCGGACGCGAACGAATTTGCAGCTCAGCCCAATCGTGCCGACACCGCCGCCTCTACCGCGAACAAACGTGAACGATAATAACAATAATCGCCGGCTTTAAATGCGTGGGCTCGTCGTCGCTTTAAATCAGCAGTGTCAGATCTGCGCCCGTCTAACCGGCTCCATGCAAATTTAAGGATTATCGTCTGGCGTCGACACGGAATGACGATCCGAAGAAGCGGAGGAAAAACTTTACGACCAGCCGCAAAATGTCACCGACGGCTGCTCGCACGCCGTCCGCCTCACCGGCCATATGTCAATTTCCTATACGTTCTTTTAAATGCATGTAACGTTTTGTAATCGTGTTACATACGTTTAAGAAACGATGATGAAGCTAACCGCGCTACCCGGGTGATTCCTCTCGTCTACTCGCGAGAGGAGGATACACTTTCAGACTGCTATTTACTCAGCTTTCTTAAGTCAAATCGTTTTCTCTTTGATACTGCGGATGTTTTTATTGGATTTTTGCGATGTTATTTTACACGTGCTCTATATCACGTGACTCTTCGACTGATCCGACGTTAAACGAAGATAAGCGATATTTTCGTCGCGAGTAGAACCCTGGTACAACGGTGGGACAAGGCTGGGCGTAAAATTACATCCAGAACGCCAGCTCAGATTGGAGCAGCTGCGCATGCAATGCGCATATCGTGCGAAATGTAACGAAAACAGATGATAAATGCGAGGGCGAGGAATGCGGCAAACAGAAGCGAAATCTCGCGAGATAATTTCGTGGTAAACACCGAGAAGGCGTTTGTGCACTGAACGAACGAATTTCCCCGCCAGCGCGATTCCATGCGCGCGTTTGCGATTGCGTGCAGCGGAGCTATACGACAATAAAAATTACGGCAACTCTCACATAAGTGTCGCAGATTTACTCACGGTATCCCATCACGCGAGCGCAAGCTTAACTCGTGCGACAGAAGCGAAAATGACGACGGCGTTGAAGTGACGTCAAAATAATGAAAAAATAATTGAGCAGTGGATTTTTATAGTCATTTTCTCGTAGTATCGACGTCATGGTAACTTTTGGTCCCACTTGGGTTTCGATGTGTCGCGGGTAGATTATAAAAGCAGCAGGTAGATTAGATAAGATGAGGGATTTTTCCCTCCTTCAACAGAAACTCGTAAGTGATTAATGTTATCTAATTCTTGCCTCATCTTGTACAAACTGCTCTATATTAGAAGAAAAAATTATTAGATTGCGCAGTAACGGAGCGGTAAGAGTATGTCAAGTATATGCGCCGACGCGATACGTTACGCAATGCTTGTCGTGGCGATTATGCAAAAATCTTTTCACAAACACATAATAGCGATTGTTTCCATCAGGGAAATCTAACTGCAGAAACAGTGAAAAGAGAAATATTATTTATTACTTCTTTCTTATTATCTTAGTCACATTTTCAAGGCGTTGTCGATGACTTTACCTGAAATATTCTTAATTATGTTTAATTCATTAAATTTATATCATATTAAAAAAATATCCTTATCCTTATAGCTTGTTCTGATGGGATTTAAAACTGTTGGCTATTGAGTCTGCATATGAATTACGTCAAATGCGACATACGATTGTATGCATATATGAATATGTGTATATATTTCCTCTACAAGACGCGTTACGTAATGCCAATGAATGTTTCACTGGTCGAAATCAACGAAGCATAAGACGAAAAAGTTAAGTGGAGCTATTTCTATCGAACATTAGTAAATGCTTTGTAAATGATCGATATAGCCCTGTTTTATTGATTGAATCAGTGACATTTTCCCTGATTCGATTTAAGAGAGAGCAGAGCTTCCTTTCTTTCAGTTTTTAAATGTTAATCTTGTTACCTGCTTCATCGGCAGTAATCATTTCTACAGACATCTTTGGGCAGAGAGAATAATCGTTACAAGTTCGTCTTCAGAGGCTCGGCATAAAATTTCAAGGAGAATATGAACGACCTGTGTCTTGATCTGTATTTCTCGTTGCAAAAATAAGAAGGCGCTCAGAAAGACGAGGCGAGTATCGAATGACCGGCCAGAACTTTTGCTGCGAGCTGTAGGCAGGGGCAATCAATGCTATGTAGAACGGAAAGTGACAGCAGCGAGCTCTCTCACTCCTGCGCCATCTGAAAAGCGCAAGTCGAGCTGCAAATCCTGCTACCTGCTTCCCTGATGACCTGCTTCGACGTTCAGCTCAGTGTTGCGCGTGACGTTGCGACGCGCGTTCGGAGGGACGGTTCGGGCAGATCGCTCGTAATTCGCGAGCCAAGTTATGATTCATCAAAAATACGCGGCACATTGGAAACACGACGACGCACTCTCGTGAGCGCGTTTCGAACGCACTTTTTACGAGCGATTAATAATTTTCGACGAGCGATTAGCGCCGAACGGTGTTGGTAACTCGGACCATACCGGCTGTTTCGTTTCTGAGTTGGCGAACGTGTCACCTCGTGAAACGTGTATTTGTTAGCGGAGACGTGTAAGGTCCAACTAAGTGGTCGTGCGCGCGAGCCGGGAGAACGGGAGCACCTGCGGCTGAAACAGTGCTCCGAAACGCGCCCGTCGACGTCACAATGGTGAGCTGAGAGGTGACACGTACGGGCAATGGCGAAAAACGCGAGAGGCTGCGAGACGGTGCCCATGATTCTGGTATGCGAACACTGCGCTAACCAGACGTTCAAGCAAATCCAAGACTTCGTTAGGTGGGTCCATCTGTCTAACACGTCTGTCCGGCTACCGTGCTCCGTTTCGTCGCGTGAGCGCACCCCGTTCCCCTCTGTCGTCGACGAATTTTCGCGTCACGCTACAAAATTGTCGGCCCGGCCTTCCGCATCGGTCGGTTTGATAACGAACAATTGGCGAAATGGAATTAAAAAAAAAAAAAGAGGAACGGACAAGAAGCACACTGCACTTATCGCTCTAATTGATGTCTCTAATTGTTGTATGACGGTGCGCTGTTTCGCAAATTGTTTCAGGCATTTGAGAGACCAACATTGTTCCAGAGAAGGTGGGTCCTTCGTGTGCCTCTATGGCTATAATGGAGTGTGCACCAGTCTTCCTGTGGAAGGTGTTTCCGACAAGGATTATATAGCACACGCCACCAAGCACGCAGCGATGCAGCAGCAACGGAAAAGCAATGGCCAGTTATCGGAGGCCGGCTCGTCGTGGACGGTGTATTCAGCCGCGCAAAATCTACCAGCTGTTCTCAACGATCCCTTCAAGGGAAAGCAGAGCAATTTCCTCACTCGCACCTGGGGAGATGGGTTTATCGAGAAGGTGGATATTCCAAAGAGTCCGTATCTGCCTGAGGTCACGATGCAGCATTTTGAAATGTATTTGAAAAAGATTGCAAGGGTAATTGTCAACGTAGTTGTACTTCCTCAATGGATGGATATCTTTGATACATGCCGAGTTGAAATTTTGGTCTTATGTTAAGTCTATTTGGTTCTGCATTAAATCTTCAAATGGAGGAAATGGAAATAATCTCCCATTAGTAGTATCAAAGAACATGATAGAAGACTTAATGTTGAACTAAATAGACTTAATATAGAACTCGGAATATCGTTATGTATTTACGTTTGCCCTGATAGTGTGTGATGACTCATACTTTGCATTTCTTCTTCCAGAGATATCGGAAACATTCGCGGATGAACTCAAATGCGAATAGGCCAACTACTCCGAATGAGCTACTTCAAAATTTTCCAAATCTTAGGAAAGTGAAATCACTAGGTAATGCTTTTCCTCGATGTTTGACGTATGTAGGGGATAATCGAGAAAAAGTAATGATAGATCTCTATTTATGTCTCATTGTTATCGCTTTAGCTAAGTTTGTTCTTTCTATTTATTCGGAGTTATCGAACAGAGCGCATGATATCATTTAAAAACTGCAACATATTTTTCGCTTCAGATCGTCTGCAATTCGATTTAGCTAGTATTCCAAAGATCTTCTTAGTGCCGAGTTTAGATCTTTCGCAAAAAGACAACTTTGACGCTGTGTTTCCATTTGCGAAAGACGGTCTGTTAGCTGAGGAATGCAACATTGTTATGCACGTGAAGCAAATGCAAGAGAAGGTACGAACTACAGAACGTAAGAAGCAGAATTTAGATCTTGTTCGTAACGTCGTATTTCTCGACCTAATTATTTGTCACGCTATAAAAATATTCATTTGACGAATATATAGCAGACGATTTTTAATTGAACATTTTTCATCTCGACGAGAGATAGTGTGCGTAAGAACCTGTGACAAAAAATTCCTTTACCTAACGCTACATGGGTTATTAATATTCAACATTTTATAAGAATTGCCATAAAATTAATATTACTTAAAATAAATCTTCAAATATATACACAGCTCAGTCACTACTTGGATATCGTGGAGGTCCGAATAGCGGAGCAAGTCGCGTCCAAATCTCAAGCCTTCTTCCATGCGATGACATCTCACGATGCCCTCATGGAACAACTCACTCAGACTATCACGGTTCTAAAAGCCCTCAGGAAAAATATTCATCAAGTCGATCAGCATCTAGTCAAGGATTCTTTAGAAATTTTACGGTAAGTTCGTAAGTAGCGTATATAAATCATTCATTCCGAAAACATGCGTTTAAGTATTTCAAGGAAACATAAAGATCCTTCTTTTGTGAAGCTTGGAACGCGCTAGGTCTAACAGATTGTTGGTTCAAGAAAAGTTGAAACTTATGGCGACCGTGCATCAAAGTCAACCCATGATACAATTATTGTTATCCACGCCGGACTACGTCGCGGCATTGGACCTCATTTCTACGACTCAAGAGATCCTCTTGCAGGAACTGAACGGAATTCACAGTTTTAGGTAAATATCCGAAAATTCCGAAAAGATCATTCAGAATTGAACATTAAACGGAAAAAAAAAATTCATCCGAGAAATCAATGATAAATATTCTCATATATATAAGTAAGAATATTTTAATCCTCTTAGATTTTATGAGAGATTGTACGAGACGGTTTAAATGAGAATATCTATTATTGTTTTAAGACTACTTATTTTTTCTGTATATGTATTTACACAATTTTTGCTCACGTTACATTCAGACACCTGAGCTCGCAATTGACCGAAATGGAGAAGCTCGTGGACAAAATGCTGTCGACGGAGTTTCAAAGATACGCGACGGCGGATTTGAACAGACCGTTGGGCGGCGAGAACACCGTTCTCGATGGCGTAAGTATCGCACACGATTTTTGCGCGCGTCGCACCTGTTACCCTTAGTTCGTAGCGAACAAACCTTCGTACCATCTCTTCCCAGTGAGATCATTTGTACGTCCTCAACGAACAGGATAAACTGGTGTCCATCATTTCCGGTCTGCTACGTCAGAAACACTTTCAATTCGTGGACACGTACAAAGAGGAAGCTGTGACTACGATAAGAGCGTTAACGAAGCAACGTGTGATCGAGGCTCTGGCGGCGAGCGATTGTTGCAGCGATCAACAAGCGGCAGCCCTCGAAGTCGGAGGTCTCTCTTTGACGGAGAGATTGAATTTACTCCACAGTACCATACAGTCCTTCACGTATCTTTTATTACGAGTTAAGGTACGCGATCTGGAAAGTCTGTACTTCTTCCTTCTTTTTCTTTGGATACGGATCACTCACGGTAAAAAAGTTTCTGTTGAAAACTGCTCGCTGAAATTTTGTGTTACTTTAACATGGGGAATGTATTAAAAAGTACACAAATATATTAAACTAACACATTCACCTTGTCAGCAAAGTCGAGGTCTTGTTGATTAATAAAATCTACGTGATAACATTTTTTACTGTGGTTATTATATTGAATTTTTAACGTTATGTCTCTAATATTGTGAATGCCTCAGCAGTCCATTTTTGAAATAAAGAGAGAGAAAGAAACTGAGACATTAACAATTTATTTGAGGTCAACGGTAAATATAAAATGTCGCTCCTCAGTCATGTCGCAAGATCAATGTTCAAAGCTACGTGATTTTTGTATAAAAATTATCGAAACTCCATCAACCGCCATTTCTCTCGACTGAACGTCCTCTCTCCGAGTGGAAACTTTCGACAGATACAGAGCGCATCCCTGTGTATACAATATATGATAATGAATGTATATTCTTCTCAGGCAGTTCACGATGTAATGAGAGACACTGCAGACTTATCGGCGGGACGTTTATGCGACGGCTCGTTCGATGAATCAGTACCTGATCGCTTACTAACTCAAGAAGAGCATACGCGAGTAACCACCAAACTCACTGATATGATTACTTCTGTATGCGATTATTGCCACGAGCGAATGGGGAATCTGCTTTCAGCGGGGACGAATGAGAAGGATAAGTTTCACAACGATAAGGACAAAGTTATCGGCGACGCGTCGCAGAGTCACAAGTCCGACGACAAAGAGTATCAAGCGTGGAACGATAAGGGCTCCTGGCTGAGCGAGAGAGCGACCACCGCTCAGGTTTGCCAATTGGCCAATATGGTCGAGGAATTTACGCACGCTTGCGAGAAACTCTGCGGCAAGCAATGCACGGCGTTACGCTCGGCGTTTAAGGTAATTATAAGGACATCATATCGAACGAGCTTTTAGGAGTGAAATCGCGGTTGTTACAGCGACGTCACTGATTTGACTCTTGAAGGCCCATTTTATTTCCCTATAATTAAAAAAAAATTCATCCCTCCGTTGTCGGTGTGCGTGATTCGCGGCGATACTCTTACAGGCGCAAGCGAGCAAATTTGTACAGCGTTTTCACAATGAACGGAAGACCAAGCTGACGCTGCTGCTGGAGTCTGAGAGATGGAAGCAGGCCGATGTGCCCTCGGAGTTTCAGTCGTTGGTGACATATGTATACGAGAAAAAGTGCTTCCCGCTGAAGATTTTCACATGCGAGGACGACACGAAGAGCGACAGCGTGGAGAACTTTATCGTCGTCGGCGACGAGAAATTCGCCGTGGTCTGCACCGCTCTGATGCTGATACAGATGATACACGAATACTGCAGGTGAGGACAGATTGGACGAAGTCTCGGGCACGAACCTCGCGGCGAATTTAACGTTTCTCTCTCCCTCTCTCTCTCTCTTTCAGAACCGGTAGTGAATTGGTCGCCTTATCCGGGACCATAGGAAGACAATTGGCCGAACTGTTGAGACATTATAACTCGCGATGTTGTCAGCTGGTTTTGGGAGCAGGCGCCATGCAAGTCGCGGGCTTGAAGACCATCACAAGTACGATTCTCGTGCTGGCGGCGCGAAGTTTGAAGCTTATATTGTGGTTCATGCCCTTCGTCAAGGCGCATTTCCAAGGTAACGCAATGTTACCACTTCGTCGTTTTTTCCTAAAACGAAATCATCATGTAGCTAGAATCCCGAGTCGAAATTTTAGTTCTACATTGTTTTCCAAAGGTCTTCTATTATGCTCTTTGTTACAAATGAGAGATGAGGAATTTCCCCAGTCGAAATTTCAGTTTTATATTAAATTTATTTAGTTCTACATTAAGCCTTCTATTGTTCTCCCTTTGGTACTACGAGTGGAAAGTTATTTCCGTTTTCTCCATCTGACTTAACGAATACTTAATGTAAAATTAAGTAAACTTGATTTTACACCAGGAGCAAAATTTCGTCTTGGGATGCTTCGGAGCATCCAACGAACCTTGTCTTTTATTTAATCCATGTGAACATAAATTGGACACGGACGGTTTTATTTCGTGTTAAATGCAATTAATTTCTAAATCGCGATTATATTATTGCGCATTTAATACGCAGCGCTGATGGAGCAAAATCCGAGCCGGGGACTCATTGGCACGTCCGGTATGAGCGGCGGGGTGGCTTTATTGGACAGCGTTGAGAGGGATATTCGAGCGCACGTGCGAGAGATCGAGGGGAAGATTCTCACCATCGTGGACAATTTATTAGGCGGCCAAATATCCAAGTGGACTGCGAGACCGCCGGTGCCATCGAAGTCTTTCAGAAATATTTCTAGGTAAATAACATGTTGCGAGGAAGGAAGGATGTCATCGGTTACTCGAGGATCGACGACATCTTCTGTAACAAATCCCCTTTCATCCTCTGCTCACAGTTATCTAATGAAGCTTCACGAAGCCGTCTCCGGAATTTTGCCTACTGTCGAAGTACAATCGCTTTACCGCACGGTGAATACGTCCTTCAAGGAGAAGCTTAGGGAGCAACTGGTGAAAATGAACATCGTGAACAACGGCGGGCCGCAGCACGGCGTGGTCACGTCCGAGCTCACGTTCTACCTGGAAGCCTTAAGGAAACTAAAAGTACTACCGAGCGAAGAGCTAAATGACAATTGGATGAGCGACATATGGACTAGATAACATGCAGAGCGAGTGATATACTGCATCATAGAAGCAATGAAGTACTATAGGAAAAGGTGACTAATCCGTAAACACTCGTCTTCCTTTGTATTACTCATCGCATCCGAAACACGAAACCCACGATATTCACGTCCATCGTCCGATCGTCTCCGACGGCGAGACTTCGCGCAGGGAGTAGCTCGCGGTTGAATTTATGATTTCTTTTTTTTTTCCAGATTAGTTTCATCGCCTCACGGTGCGATCGCTCGTGTGATCGTCGTCGATGAACGTTACACGTGCTACACGCTAACAAATCGCGAAATGCAGTTTCGTTAGTCCGATCGAACGTGAGGTGATCGACGGCAGGCGTGGTGTGTTTCTGTGAGATAGAATATGTTCAGTATCTATATGAAAAAGGGAATTTTACAAACACTGATTATTGTTGAACTCGCGTTAATTCTGACAACGTCGATTGCATTACTTAACTGATCACATCGCTTAATTGTTTTTGATCCACCGGACATATTTTTTTCGAGGTGTTACGGCCGACAAATTTTAGGACACATCGGATGACCCATCTCTCGAGTATTTTCGCTAACCATAGTGTTCAAACGAAGTGTTGCTACGAAGTATACATGAACTATATCGTAGAGATGTCCGTAGGTATTTTGTGAAAGTATTATTTTCTAACACAGGCTGCGGGCGGAGAGAAGCGTCACGTTTGTTTACTTGCGAGTGAAACGTCGTCTCTTACAGATATCTCGATGTAACACGATGTTGTAGCAGGACCAAACGTACAGATTTGTAAGTTTTTTTGTATGATACCGTATTTAACAGACGCGTGCAGAACTTCTATTTCCGAGATAGTTGTACGTTCCCTCAGAAGATATTTTCTTTCTCTTTTTTCTTCGTAAGAGAAAAGTTTCAGATAATTGAGTTGTTTAGGACACAATGTATAAATCAAGAAACGGCAAATACGACTATCTTGATTGTTCATTATGCGTGTGTCGATTATAATTAATACGCAGCGAGGTAGAAGTCGACGATGAATGTTCGCGCGAATGAGATTGCGATGAAAAGGTACACGTTGCGCCGTCCTAAGAGTCATCTCTTCAGGAAGCAAGAACGTATAATTGCCATTCTTCATAACTGATATTAATGCGATTCTTATGTGCAATTGGTAATGATATTGATTGTATATGAAAGATAATGTGTTCGTAATCATGAAAAATCTTATCTAATATTCTAAAGACAGAGCGAAAAAAAAAAGGAAGCAAGGAAGGAGAGAGAAAACCACTCGCACTCGCATATATAAATTTAGAGAAACGTTTGAGTCTTATCGCGGATTGTACCGTGCATTCCATTCCTGACTTCATCTAGTCCGAATTGTACATAATATTGCGAGAGGAGGGTACGCTAATCGATTGTACTTTAATTCATAAACGAATTTGCGAATTTAGGGCGTAATGCGTCGTGTGATCCAGCGGAGACGTATTTAGCGTATTAGAATAGGGCTCTGAAACACATTTTTCACATTATGGAAGAGAAGCTGCGGGGAAGCGCTCGGAGCCGATTGTTATTACAAAAGATATCCTCCGTGGATTTCACTCTACCAAGACTGACGACCTCTCGTTAGATCATCGCGCATATGAAAGACAGAATTGAGAATTGCGTGTTACGTGTAGAAAGACTATTAATTTTTAGATATAAATTATTGTATCTTATACCATCTTGCATAATGTATTATGAACATTAACATAAAAAGAAATAACGACACTTGCAGCTGAGAATAGCGTGATGTTGTTTATTTGAACGAGAGCATCCTAATAATCGCCTACCGAACTTTGTAAGACTGGGCATTAAAAAAAGCGTCATGAGAACAGAAACTTGCAATAATTATTAACGATTACGATTATCACTCGGTGCCTGTTTCACAAACAGCTACATCGAAGACAGAATGTTCCATAATGTACGGCATTTTTCGTCGACCACTCGTACCTATCGGTAATCCACGGATCTACGATCAGGCAGGAAATAGTATGAATGGGCGCCCACATGTCGCCATGGTAACAAAGAGTAAAACATGTCCATAACCTGAAGAAGAACAGAATGGTGCGAACACGATCACGAGCCTCTGTTGCAACGCGTCTCACACGTATCGCGTCTCTCCGAGAGAATGTCTGCGGAAAATCGGTGATTAATTTATTGCGTATATAATTAATTCGTTACCTTTGTAAAGAGGAAAAAAATCATGTACTATGATAATATACACCGAATACATTGATAACGTATTAAAAATGGTTAGAAGGTTTACTGTGATAGACCGAGTATAACCTGCTAGAGAGTATCTCTTATCATTCAGCTTCGTTAATTTCATGGTGATAATCGCCGAGTGAGTGATTTTCCAAAGAAACGTAGACGCGCGATTCCTCAATAAAGATATAATTCTATAAATAAGTCGTTATATTGTGCTGTCTTTATCGCACAGCGACTATTATCTCACGAAGTTTTTCACAAAGTGCAAATCGATTATGCTGAAATTGATTTTATAGTGAGGAGTCTATGCGAGAGATTGCATTACGAATCGCTACCGAGGAAGAACACCGACGAAAGACCGATCCCAATGAGACTCACGAACGGTCCATTATTATCCTTGGCAGCAAGGGAGTTGTAAGTGACAAAATTAGGAGAGCACCGTGCCTTCTCGCTGCTTGCACTTTGCGTTTCCGATTGCGTTTCTAGGGTAAGACAACGATGGTGTATCGATTTCTCGAAAAGGAGGAAAGGCCGAAGCCGACCATTGCAATGGATTATTCGTTCGGCCGTAAAACTGTGAAAAGTCTAGTAAGTGATATGCGATCTTCGCTTATCGACTGAGACATATTTATAGAATTCACGTTTCATTCAGAGATGACCGTAAGGGTCACTGCACACAGAAAACGTAATCAGTAAGCCCTTGTCTACAATCTTGCTTTAGGATACAAGCAAATTGACCAATCATAGTCGTTTATCAGAAAAATAATCGACCGTGGTTTGGTCAATTTGCTTACGGTTTACATCTTAAAGCAAAGTTGCAAATAAAAGCTAAGACGTAAGAAGTAAGTAAATTGACCAATCACAGTCGGCTATTCTTCGACCGTAAGAAAAATTAATCTACAGCGACTGGTCAGTTTTCTTACCGTTTTATTGCTTACGTTTTTGTGCACATCATGGTCCTAACTTTCCTATAAAAGCGATTTATTTGCGCGTGCTCTTGAAACGATCCGGCGACAACGGCTGTGTAATTAATTGAACGTAATTACGGCATAATGTCGTGCGGTTCATTTTATCCCGAGGCTTTCGCTAAACCGGTATCGAATTAAAGTTATAAATAGCAATAATGCGCTACCGCAGGTGAAGAATATAGTGCACGTGTGGGAAGTGGGTCACTTGGCTTCTTCTTTGGTGTCGGTCGCAATGACGGGATCCACGCTAACGCATTCTCCTCATCACACTGTGTTACTGATGATGTTGGATTTATCACGGCCGGGCGAGCTGTGGGCTTCCTTCGAGGAGACCATTTCCGTGATACGAAGCGGCCTGAAGATGAGTTACGACGCGGAGACTGTCCAGAAATTGCGGGAAAGAAGGATAACGGATAAGAAGAAGGACGTGGAACGCGGAGTCGATCCGGTTCCGATGAAGATATGCATCGTGGGCGGACGATACGATGAATTTAAGGTATGTTAATGTTTCGGGGTTCAGTGTGCCTTGATATATAGGATATACCAGGAGCTACCTCCTGCGGGGAATGGTAAACATTTTACAATTTACAGCGCAATGAGTAGCATAAATTTCAGAGACCCGCCCGTTCCTCACTGTATTAATTCGTGCGATAGGAATTCGACTTGGGTAAGAAGGAATTTATCGGCAAGACACTGAGGGCAATGGCTCACAACTTGGGCGCGAGTCTTTACTATTATTCATCCAAAGACAAGGTCCTCGTGCGACGAATTAAAGATCTATTGTCTCACTATGGATTCGGCTCGCCGTTTACGTAAGTCTTTCCGTGAAATTTCGCGCGCGACGTGCGCGCATGGTTTACAGCGGGTCCTAACGCTTATCGAGCTCGCCTATATGAGATCCCTCGTGAATTATAAGCGCTATAAATTTCTGCATTGTGTCTGCACGTTCAATGAAACGCAAGGGAGGAAAAATGCACCGATTATGAGAAGCCATTGATGATGCCGGCGGGCGCGGATTCATTCGGACGGATCGATTTGCAATTCCCCCAAACGAGACCGTCGGCTATTTTAGACACCGTCAAGCAGATCTACGTGTCCCGCATGCCGCAAGTGTCGAAGAGCGACGAGGGCACTCTGGAGGACCCCAGCAACGACCCCAACTTCAACGAACCGATCATCGACAGGCTGAGGACGCAGCGGGAAGAGGTAATTATTTTCTTTATTCGTTACACGTTGTTCGATTGTGTTAATGAATTTTAGTTAATTCACGAGCGATTAGTGGAAGCGTCGATTAGCTTTAAACGATACATCGAAACTGAAAGGACCCTTTCCTCTTCAGGAGAGCAGCGTGCTGCTGAACGACATGATGGAGGGCCGCATGCCGAAAATTCCTGTGCCCGATCCGTTCTAGAAGGTGCATTCTCGCATTTTTCGACACGTGTTTGTTGTATTCTTAAAAGGAGAATTCTTGAAAGAACAGGGGCGAAAAACCGCCGCAGTTTGACAGGTCGATTCGTTGTGAGCGATAATACGTGAAATTAAAACAAAGGACAGGTCGAGCGCGATTATCCCGTTAAAGTGGCGCATAAGTCTCATTAAATGTTGAAAGGAATACAGCGGAGAAAATGTACATAGAATATATACGTAATAAACTCTTCGCTACGGCAAATTATTCGGGCCATTTTCGTTAAAATCCACATCCACAGGCGACTTTGTAATTTCCTCTCGTGGTTCTTTCTTCGTCGTACCAAGAAGCCGTATTACATTCCACCCTACGGCAAATATAGAGATTAGAGAGCAGAATAAAAAGAGACGGGGAGAAAGAAAGACCCTTCGCTAGCTCAGCTTCCTGAGTGAGGTAAGCTGATAAGGAAGGATTTGTAATACCTTACTTTAAGGATGACGGCAATGTGTTAAAGAAAGCGCACTGGTGCTTTGTAATACTTGATCGTGCTCTGAGATACATTTGATCATAACCAAATGGCGGCGGAAAATATAAGGATAATAATATGTCACCATATCACCAAGAAGAAAATTTACTAAAAATGAAAATACAATACTGCAGATTGTGGGTTTTCTTTTGTAAACCGTCTGGATCGCTATTTTCTTCACACACAGTTATTTCTATTTCAAAATCCCACTTTTCACAAATCGGCTTCCCATTGTAATTTTACCCGAGCGTTATCGCAAAAAAAAAAACCCCTCCCACGAGTAATCAACAAGCCCGGGGTGTCCGAGGAACCGGGTCCGCTCCTGGCGCGCTCGCGCGATCTCCCTTTTCTTCCCACGGAGAAGCCACGTCTCTCTTTCTCGCCCACACGCGACAGCCGATAGGAGAATGGTTGCGACCTGCACCCCCGCACCGTCGTGATAAGAGGCGCGCGCGCGTTCACCCATCGCGAATGGAAGCGCATGCGTGTCTGCCGCTCCGGTCGCTCCCGATACGCAGAGAGAAGGAGCGTTTACGAAAACGGGGCTCCGACTGGGGGGGGTCTCGCCGCGAAGAGCTCTCTCGCTCCCTCGCCGCCGTTTCCTCAGTGAAAATGCCGCCGCGATAGAGAGCCGCGCGTGCCGTGTGCTCTCCTCGGGCTCTCGTCGCGTTCCCGTGACAAGAGCAGGCTCTCTTATCAGAGACTCTCTCTCGCGAGAGACGACACCTCACGCGTTCCGTATTTCGCCCGCGACTCTCTTCCCCCCCCACCCCCCGCTACCTGAGTGAGTGTGTGCGTGTCTCTCTCTCCTTTCTCCGCAAAGTTTCCTTCTTCCGTCCGTCGGTCTCGCGCTCTCCTTCCCGCTCTTCTTTATTTCCCTTATCACCGCCCCCCTTTCCCACCCTTATCCGCGCGCACCGCACGCTTTGACAGTCCGCGAGTGTCGCGGACCGAATCGTGGCCGCGAATTTTGGACGCCGTTTACGGAGAACCGGCGGGCGCGCAGGTGTACGCAGGTGAGTCGTGAGACAAGCAGCACCTTCCTCGACATGACAGAGAGAAAAAGAGAGACGATGACGCAGCGTGATTCGTTGCGGAGTGTTGAACGATTCTCTCTCATCGGCGAACGAAGCGAAAATCGTAGCCGGGAACACGAAGGACGCGCGCGCGCGCGCGCGCTCTCGTGCGCTTCGCATCGGGCGACCCATTTACCTGCGACGCGCATCGCGATCGTCGTCATCGGGTCGCATCCTCTGCCCTCTTCGCCTCGCGCTACCCTCCTCGCCGTTATCGATTCCGGTATGAACGCGCCCTCCGCGGGACAGGTATCTCGCGCGCGCTGCCTCTCACGCACCCGCGACTTCCTCCTCCGCGCACGACTCTCGAATCTCGCGTGCGATCCAGTGCCGCGTGCGCCGATCAATGACATTTGAGCGCGCGTGCACGCGAGATTCATGCAATACACGCGGCGACCGCGCGCGAGATCGCGCCCGCCTCGCCATTACCTCCGCATTCCCCGTGAATTTCGTTTCGATCGCCGGCTGGATCCTCCCTTCCGCGTGTCCTCCGACCGACGTTGACGCAGGAGTTCCTCGGGATGGCGACCCTGCGGGATCGCATTTCGTTTAGTGCTGTCAATTTTCACCTTCCGGCTATCCGAGCCTTTCACGAACCGAATGTAAATCATTTCCGACGTTATCAAGGTAGAGGTGTCAATGTCTGGCCACGTACCTGACGTACTGCGAACATTCTTCTTGTTTTGGCCTTTAAGTGTGAACGTTTAATTGTTAAACCACAATCATTTGCGTATATTCGATATATGTGTAATATATTCTGTGTCGGAAGCTTGAATATTCGTATTGAATATTCGTATTTAAAGTCGAAAACAACAAGAAAGTCCGGAGTTAGGTACGTCTCCAGGCATTGGCACATGTTACCTTACATGTTTTGACGTTGAGAAAAAATTCTTTCGCAAATGAGAAAATATATATTTTAAATAATATACATTAAGTAATTAATATACATTTTACAGTCGAAATTGACAGCATTAACTTTTGTCCTGACACGTCTAAAATGTTAATGTCTGAAAGCTGCCTAAAATCTCAGTGTGGTTTTTCGTCGTCATGACTTGCTGTAGAAAAATCGGACGATGCTTTTGCGAACCTTGAAAACGACCTCTGTGACAGTTGAATTGGCATCACGCTTGGCATTAATTGCGTGCATAATTGGGGCTCCTCAATTATCGCTGGTATCATTTCGCAAAGAGCTTAAAGCAGATAGTGTAATCAACGAGCGACGTATATCGCGTTTAGTAGATAACATTAGACTCTTAATGTTATTGTTTCCTTTTTTTTTTCGTGAATCCTGATTGGACGCCGATGAGGACGCGAACGAAAAGTTTCGAAGACAGTTCTCGCGTCTCGAACCATACCAAGACTTCTTAACGACGTTCGAAGCAGGTTTTAAATATAACGTCACGCCTCGTCTGCCAGGGCTAAATCAAGCGGCAAGTTGCACGCCGTCTTCTTAATTTTTAACTTTTAGTTCCGGCGATTATTGATCGAGCCGCCGCTCGATTGAGTTCTAGGAACGTGCTAGCGTAGGAGACACCTTTTATAAATGCAAGAATTTTCGATCTTTTTCCATTCGTCATGAAAGTGCCATTATCGCTAGGTCAGTCAAGTTCGCGACAAGTTCGCGATAACATTTGACAGCCTGTATGAAGAGATATGTATCACCTGTCGACATCTTGATGCTGGCTGATCGCCGCTCGTCTCCGCACGCGTTTATCTGACAACTCATGCACTCTCTCTCTCTCTCTCCTTCTCGCCTATTCGCGATATTCTTCGCGAATTCTCTCCTTCCGAATAGCAGGATCGTACGAGAACGGCTTAAGAAAATTATCTCCCGCTCCGCGCCCATTTCTGTGATTACAGTAGACACAAACTCGCATTCGTCACGGTAATCATCGTTTCCCGTAACGAGCGGGTTTCGTGACTTCGCGCGGATGGGTATAAAAATACAACCGTCTCTTGATGTTTACGCGAACGTGTCGGGATCACGTAGAGATACGGGCACACAGTTGCGTGTCTGTCGTTACGATTTCGGACGCAGACACCTCCTCACGATCACGCAGTCCTCGCCTTTCGTCGCGTCCACGAGGCGCGTCGCGACGCGTGCACGTCGGACGCCTTCATTAATTATTTCGAACAACGCGCCTTGATCGATTCGTGGAACCGTCGTACGCAGTTCGATCCGCTCCCCTAAAAAACCGTGCGATCGCTGTTATTCGCAAGTGGGTTATTCGAAAGTGACAGTCCGAGGAACGGCGATCGCCATTTCTCGCACGGGCAGTCAAACGTTAAATCCCTCGACGGAACGTTAAACAATTATTCGCGCAGACAGCCTTCGTTACATTAGCACTTCAGCTACCGGTAAGAAAAAGTGTTAGCATTCTGTAGATAGTACAGAATAAATTTCTACTTCTGACTTCACAGTCTAATTTCACAGTCATGACTTTTCAAAAGCTTGTCAATAGGCTTCCGGGCGGTAAAGCATCAGTTGAGCGACAATTTCATTCCTTCTGGTAGACAATACCCCGCATCGAAGACGTCTGTAAATGCAAAGTAAGTCGTACTAGCCGTGGCGAAGTCCAGATCGTGCCTGAAGTCCACTCTCTGCGTGATCATTACGTCGCTAAGTATCGGGACACTACTTTAATGATGAAAATCGCCGCTAACGACGTGTTTTCACCATCGTGCGTCACCGTGGCACACCGAAGCCGCACGGTTTTGTATGCGGCACACAGCCCGAGGTCACTCTTAATGCCGCACTCTCCGTATAATTCGCGATTAACCTTTCGACAACAACTCGATCGACTTTGTTCGGGCTCCGGAGAGTCATCGAGCGGAATAGTGCGCGCGATCGTATCGACCGCCGCTTTCAATGGGCGATCCGATCTTGAACCCGCGCCTGCCCTCTGCGCCGGACGATCTTTCATTCCGGGATGGGTTGAGTTCCCGTCGGGATATTTTACATTTTCACGAGGACACGACGGACGATCTCCTCGCGCATCTCCGCCTCGTTTCCTCCTCCTCGTTTTTAGCCGTCGATTTTTACACAGCCGCAAAACTTCGCGGTCAGTCCCGTCGACCTTGATCCCGCCGTGCGGCTCTTCGTGTCGCCGAGTATACTTTTAATTCCTATCTGAAAGCGCCAACGTTCCGACGCGCGGCAACTTCTACCTCTAAGCCCCTTTTAAAATCGAGATATCCCGCAGCGACTTTCGTTTCAACGCGCTCTCCTTTCGCTTTCCAAAGAATTCCGATTATATCGGAAGCGTTCCTCAGGTGATTGTTAAATGCGCGAGCTATGCGTAACGTTGAACGTATAGTCAGTCACGAAAAGGTTGCAGCAAACATTTTTTTTTTATAAGTTTTTGAAACGCATCCCGTGTCCATTAGGAGAATTTGTTTTTAGTAATTCTCAGGAGATACGTTTTCCTCCTGGATACAAGATGCGTTGCAAAACTCATCGAAAACAATTGTTGCAACTTTTAATTTGCCGACTGTCTATGTATGTGTGTGTGTGTGTGTGTGTATGTGTAGGAACCATGTACAAGGATAATAGAGGACTTTTACAAGCAAAACAATTTCGCAATGCATTTATATACGATTTAGACTCGTTCATTGATGATCTTTCGATGGGAATATCCAATCACCCTTGAACGTCGCGGATTTCGATCGGCAATTAATTAGATGTACGAAATTAATTACGAATTCGTCCGTTCGATCGGGTAGTTTTCAGTTGTGGTTTGAATTAAATCACGAAGCGG